AATTCCTCAGTCGGAAACAGGAGGAGACGGGAGATGTTGACGCAAATCCAACGTGAAAGGAGCCGCCGATCCGGCTTCGACACGCCCGGTGCTGAGTCCAGCAACTACTATGTCGACTCGAGAGACATCGCAAATGTTGGAGCGATCGGGGAGTGCCGTCATAATTCCTGATATTACTCACCGCAACTTCTTCCTCGGAGGTTTTATCCGAAGTCGACATACGAGCCAGATTCGCTATCACTGAGCCAATCGGGGACCTTCAGCGATCCGGCGAGCTTGACGGGGGGGGGGGCTTTCCGATTCAGAGACTTCTGACGTGGAATCACTGCAGAGCATCAGATGACGGTTGTTGTATCGGCAGAGAACACTGCGATCGCGATGCTTGCCACCGCTCCCATGGATCACTCGACTTCCGCGATTACTGACGCACGTGCAAACGGAGTTCGTCGCACCCACGACGCCTTCAACTCGGTACCCGGCTCCCGCCTTCAACGATGTCACTATCTTGTACCAGGGGCGAGAACAGCGAGGAAGGTTCGAAATTCGGTTGCCAAAATGCGCGCGCTGTGTATCCGTTATGTAGCAAATCAACGGAACTCAGAGGAGATTCCCGCTTCTCCTCGCATCAGAATTAAGTTCCCGCGCTCCCCGCCACGTTGATGGAGTCCGCTCACCCGTTACGTTGTACTCAAGGTCTCAGTCACTCACTCAGTAGGAAAATCGCCGCGCAGTCCGAGAGCTCGGGGCTGCTCCGAATTCCCCTCTCGTCATCGTCTGTCTTGTGAAGACCGTTGCTCCACATGAGAATCTGACGAGGGCACGATCCCTGAGAGGGGAATGTCTCCTCCCCTCTCGGACCTGTACAGCTAACGGATGGATGGCTTACCCCCGGAATTCGTGGATTATGAGCGATTCCTATCGAGGAATTGGAGATCAGAGAGTGGAAGCGGAGCCATCGCCTTCAAATTCGAAGTCATGAACCTTAATAGGAGAGCATAGGAACTTGTAAAACAGAAGCCTGCCGAGCTCTTGTCAGCTGACAATACCGTAAGCGACAGCACATGATTTCGAGGGGTCTTATATTCCATTTGTCTCTCGTCGTGAGCGTCATTTCACAAAATTCAACTAGTTCATAGATTTCTTTCCTGTCTTTGCTTCCGTCTTGTTCAGCGATCTCCTCGATTTGTCTTCTTCGTCCGGTAACAGGAGTTGATTCAGAACTGGATTTTGTTCGAGTTCTCGAGCGGAGAAGTTGAACAGAGGAGGGGGCTTGCCACCTCCGGGCAACAGGAGCCCTGGCTTTCGTAGCTCGTCGAAGTAAGGTTCCGCTAGAGCGTCCCAACATCGAATTCGATTGTCTGGAGCATACTGGAGGAGCTTAGTGAGCAGACTAATCGATTGCGTGCATGAGCGTCTGAGGTGCTTCTTGAGGCATATCGGGTCTCGCTTCTTTATGTCTTTGGGGAAGTCAGGATGCAGCTTCTCCATTTGCTCAGGGTTGGGCGTGCCAAGTATTCTGATGATTTCCGCGAATTGGTCCAAACTCGATTCCCCTACGAATATCGGTCGCAGGTTGAACAATTCTGCGAACACACATCCGACGGCCCACGTGTCGACCGAACAGTTGTATAGCGTATTCCCCAGTATGAGTTCCGGTGCTCGATAGAAGCGGGAGCAGATGTAAGCGATGTTGGGTTCTCCCTCTACGAGTTTTTTCGCTGAGCCGAAGTCGCAGATTTTGAGTTGAGATGTCGCCTCGTTGATGAGCAGGTTCGGGGGCTTGATGTCCCTAGAGTTGGACGATTCGCATTCTTCTCTTCCTCATTTCATAAAGCGCAGATATACGTATGTATGCACGTATGTCTGATTGTTGGTGGACTCATTCCAATAGAACGAGCTCGACTTACCTGTGCGCGATGCCTTCGAGATGCAGGTAAGCCACTCCGCGCAGCAGCTGATAGAGATAGAGTCGAATGTGGATCAGGTTCATATCTTCATTCCTGTGACGGTACTGCATTAGCAGAGTCGACAAACACGTTGGGAACTGTTCCATTACGAGGTTGACGGTCATGTCCCGCTCGTAAGGGTCTCTATCGACGAAGTAATAGAACAATCGACAACAGTTCGGGTGATCCAGGGAGCGCATGATGGCAACCTCACGGTTCTTGTATCTGGGATCGTATTCGAGTTGCTTCATCGCGAAGTGATCGCCTCGAGGCGTAATTATCTCCTTCACAGTACCGAAAGTTCCTTGGCCAATATCTTCTGCGATGCGGAAACGAAACTTACATTTCGACATCTTTCTAGCTTTGTTTACAACCACAACATTCCAATATTGTCCATCGACGGTCTCGATTTCTCGTTCGACGGGGGTGAAATCGAACTCACTCATTTGAACTTCGTTGCCGCTGGAGTAATCTACGTGGAAATGCGCACCGAGCTCGGATGGAGAGACTCGCGGTCTGGCGAAGCTCTGCGGTAGGAGGAGCTCCATCATTTCTGTGGACTGACAAGGCCGAAAGGTGACATGGCGATAGCCTCATCTGGCGGTCCGATGTTTTCCGGGACTCGAACGTCTTTTCGTCCCCATGAATGTACTCCTTATTTTCGTCTCTTGAGAATCTTTGATGTCTCTCTTAATCAACTCTTAATCAACGGAAGGAGCGCAATCAATTTTCCAGCACTGAGCTCGCCCGGCATAAGCTCCGTCATGCACGCCTAGTGGCCCGAGTGGGGTAAATTCATTCGAAATTCGAGGAATCGTGGGCGACTTTGGACCGAGTGGAAATGACCAAGATGGCCTGGTAGGAGAATGCTTGACGACCTGACCCCGACCAAGTCCGGTGTCCAATGCTTGGCGAAGTTGGAGAGGTGGACTTCTCTTCACCTGGGATGAGCTACGGTCCAGATTCGCTGAGATTCGTAGGGTATTCCGATAGACTGTCTGGCGAAGGCCCCCTTCATCCTAGCTCGGGGAAAGCTCCAGCTCCCGGAGCCGGCACCATGGATCTGTAATGCCGCAGGGGGGACCGACGGTAGGCATTACGTCGACTTCACACTTCATCCCCCTGCCCATCACTACGATTCTAGGACCCTCTTCCCCCGTGGAGATAAGACAAACATCTATCGATAACATCCTCCACACCTTAAAATTTATTCTGGACGGAAAGTCTCAAAAATCAATATCTCCAGCACGGGCTCCTGCTGGACCCTCCACATTAGGGGTCCCTCGATTGGAGTCGAAGGGAAGAATTCGAACTCGCGCATGATCTGCGTCTCCTCGACAAGACCGCGAACGTCGCATGGTCTTCAGCCGCCTCGGGAGACGAAGTTTTCATGATTGTTCAATCGATTGACTAGTCTCACATGATGTCCAAACTATAACCATTCACAGACTGAACCTTACGCTCCGGAATGTCGCTTCACGCTCATGTGACTCAAGTGTACATAATATTGGGCTCCTCAGAGCCCTCGCGACGAGTTCCCATGGCACCGGAAAGCTCACTGCTAATGTCTCATTGTCCGGTAATTTCTGATGATGAGCAAGCAGCGGACCGCCCGGCTCTCTCATTCGGTATTCGCCCTATGAGTCTTAGCTTCTCCTCCACGGGATTCTGGGAACTCCATCGCTGGTTCCGAGAAAATATCTAAATTTATTCGTCGCTAATAGTTGACGCCCGCGTTCGGAAGGTTCTGGGCCGGTACGGTTCCCTGTTTCCGGAACATGTTCTTGACGACTTGCAAACTCAGCCACGATGTCGCTGTACCCGTGATGCTCTTATCAGCGCCCAGCTTGCAGCGTATGTACCCATAGGCGTTTGAAAACGTCAGGGTGATCGCCACAACGATTATCGTCAACCACGCAACATTAAAGGTAAAAAATGCAGTGAAGGCGAAGAAGGACCAGACGACCGGCATCGCCAGCAATGCCGTCCAGAATATTCCAGATTCCCCCTTGTCGATTGGCCGAGTGTCGGGAGCTTTCTCGAAAACCCATTGAGATTTTCCTGTCTCTGCGTCCACGTAGTTCCACCACCGAAGACCCACGAGGAAGCGACCTGGAGGAGGGAACGAAAGATGTCACCGGAGTTTGCTAGGAACACGGTCATGAAGCCCTGTGACTCATGAGAATTTTTTTACAAAGCACGGTTCTCTACCGTCAGCATACCCGTGATGTTCTTTGTCGTCCAGAAGTCAAGCGCGATCAAGAATAACAGGAGCACGAAGTTTGTAACGAAGGAGTCGTTGAAAAAGTTGCAAAACAAGTAGTAAAAAACACAAGCGAATTTGATGCCAACGTGAAGAAGCACGATGAAGGGATGGCGTTCAGCGGTCCGAATAATGAGACCTGGCTCTAGGTTGTTCAGCTCTTCATTTGAGAGGAGACTCGCCTGTGAAGATAAGACACAAATAAACTCACTGCTATGGTGTGCATGGATCCTGGTGACTTGGGGATATTGGCAGGCTTCCCCGTGAGAATGTAGGCACAGATCATATCGATGGGAAGAACTCGGAAAGGTTCGGGGTCCCACTGGGGGGTGTTGGATCCGGATCTGGGAAACGAGCACACGGAGCTTCTTCGGCGACGTTCCACGGTCTCCCGCCCCTCTGCCTTATACGCGGGCGACGCCCCGGACATTATGCAAATGTCCATGGATTTCGAGAAGAAATCCTCGGAATATTACGTGGATCACAGGAAAGATTTTTCCGGCTCGTTCCCGGTGTTCTACCCGTCGCTCGAGCGAAGCTGATGAGGGGTCTCGTTCCCCGAATCAAGGCGACGACCAACTTCCCATCTTAAAAATTGACAGAGTAAACTTACTGATGACTCCTCCGGACTCATGGTGGTGCAGACCCGTATAGGGGATCAACACCTGGACTCAACCGTGGATCAACTTCAGTGGAATCAGAAGTGTCAATATAGCAGGACAGAATGATGATGGTGATCTTTGCCCAGGTCCCCTTGAGACCGGGGCGTTCTCAGCGACGATTTCCATCAACGGACTTGCGGCTAGACTGCCGTATGTATTCTGGCGGAAGCCTCGGGCAAGATGCGACTGATTGTCGCCAGCTCTCCTTGCGGAGTCAGCCGACAAGTCTTGCAGCATGAAAATACTTTTTGGCCGCGCTCATCCTCATTCCTGCTCGGTTTCCGGCTCATTGGGCCCGGAGTGTAACGTGGAGCAGGGATTCGTTCACACGGAGCTCCAGGGTAGAATACATCTTTCTTCGAAGAAGCTTGCGGTGTTCATCGGGGGAAGGTAAGAACTTATCCGGACATAATAGAGGCTCTTCTCCGCAATCGGTGGACCTCAGGGACGAGCAAAAGATGGTTGATTGAGGTCGCCGAGTTTACGAGAACATCTCCCAGAGCTCAGACGTACAGGGCGGCCGGACCTCGGGCGAGGCTTCACCGCAACGGTCTCAGAGAGACTCATTGAAGATTAGAGCTCGAAAAATCAGGCATTCTGCCATGAATGTCTATGCCTGCCTTCTTCGACGTTTTTCGATCTACTATGCCCATTAAGTTCGGTACTGAAGCTGAATTCCGGGTTTTTCGGGGAAAGTTCGGGTCCACGAACGGAGACGGCTTTGATGTAAGGTCGCCGAATCCGAGCTTAAGCCGAGGAATACATCTTGCTTCCGATAAAATCTGATTGTCCACCTAGATTCAGAATATTTATTTCCTTCGATTTGAAAACGCTTCCATCAGAACGGCGGCATCGATTACAAACTCATGGGACTCCGAGCTCCCACGAAAATTTCTCTCAAAACGGCACTTACGAACGAATTGGTGCGGCGTTCCCCCTGCCTATCATACCTATCCCGGCTAAACTTCGGGGGCATATTCGAAGGATTTGCAGTGCCCTTTTGCGTGCCTTTTCCGCATATTCAGCGCCTGAACTTCGTAGCTCCCTCAATCAACGTTTCTTTTTCTTGGAAGTCGTCAGCACCAAGATTATGAGAGGGTGGATCAACATCGAGCTGCATCCGTGGTCAGGATGTGGAAGACGAAGAATCGTAACAAGCTCCCGTCTCTTTAAGGTACAGTCACCGGGTGAATGATGGGTGGACTTCATTTCCTCGGTCTGTGTCTGATGGAACTTGTCCGGTGGATCTCACCCGTTCCCAGATCACAATTTCCGATAAAAGCAGCGATAAGAGAGCGCAGATCCAGGCCGTGACCGCGTATGCCTCTGGCTCTCTCATTCGCTGAACCCCTCCTCTCGCAGCAGGAGATCATCCATGGTGAAGCATCCCCCTTTTTTGTGACGTGGATATGCTCACAGACCTTCTCATGATACGATGGCGACATCGGTTTCTGCAAAGCTTGCTCGAGCTCTCGGTCGGAAATTTGTCGCTCGATTCTCTGTTGCTGTTTTGATATAACACTGTTTTGATATGAAAAGGGAGAAGTTTCCGAGCTGATTTCATCCGATCGTCCGGCAATCCCTGCATCGCAGCGGCGACGTCGTCCTATATGTATACCGCTGTTTACGGTTTGCAAGAACAGGATCCATGTCCCTAATATGAGGAGAGTTTCTTCGCATCTGCCCTGGAGGTCGGTAGACACGGGGTAGACCAGGCAAAGAATCAAAAGGTACAGCACCGTGCTGAAATCCTTCCGCATGTACCATAGGATGATGCTAGCTGATGATGAGAGGGAAAGTATGGGCAGCAGGATATCTTCTCGAAGGAGCGGCTTGAGCATCTGCGGTATTGCGCAGCTACGGGGCACTCTGGCTTCTCCGACAAGCGATAGGTAGGATGTCAGTCGCGTCACCCTCCGGTGCGTCCGAGTCATCTGAGAATGAATTGCCCAGATCGATTTCGATAGAAATGCTCGATTCCAGAGGGTGCCGGAGCTCTACGTGGGAACCCCGGAATCGCGCTACTCGGGTCATCGGCAGCAGCTCGATTCTTTGGAGGTCGAGGCTCCGCTTTCCTTTTCGATCGATCCCCCGTCTCTGAGCTGATACTTCTTATCCCGCTCAAGAAGAGTCAAGTCGAGAAAATTTCTGTATCGATGCTTTGTCGCGCCGAAGGAAGCTTGTATGCGATATCAATATGTTCGATTATCCCAGAGGGCGTGGATTGACCCCACCTGATCGGACGACGCCAACCTCTGGCTCGCAACAGCTCGTCGCCCTCTAGCGACCCTCACGACGATGACCCTCGTCAGTAAGACGAGTTTATCCAATGGGACAGGAAAGTTCAGGAACAAATCCATGATGCGGTACTCGAAGGAGAATGAAGGCCACTAATCCCCAAAAGACCCAAGTTGTAGCGATGGCTCCTGTCTTTGGTACAGAAACTTCGAGGAAAATTGCAATTCCGGCGATGTCGACGCAGTAGAAATCGGTACCGAATGAGAACTTGAGATGGCTGAGGAGGAGTTCATTCATGGAAATCACTTCGCGATCGCAGTTAAGGCTGAAGAGTACGGGCGGCTATGAGAAGTTACCAGATGAAAGAATTTTTCCGACTTTCTTCTGAACGCATCTCTGGAATTCATTCTCGAGCGTCGAATTCATTCGGAGTGAACAAAGAACGACGTACCCATGTGCGAGAGTCAGAACTCTCGAGGATCTCATAGCGAAGGGATGCAGGATCTCCGTCGAGGAATCCAGACCGGAATTCAAATATCCATTGCCCATATTCATCGACCAAGCGAATTGAATCATCTATCTTTTCATTCCTGGGGAGAAAATCAGGAACATCCTAGCAGGATGTTGTGATGTAGATAAGGACTCGTGTCATTATTCGAATCGATTCGAAGGCGATTGACTCTTTTTCCCAGTCGTGACACGTGATACGTGACGAACTGTGAAGTTTGGTCGATCTAGGGAGAATTAGTTATCCTACCATCAATTTATCAGGGTGAGATGATACTAGTGATTGCATCTTTCGACATCCATTCATCAGGAATGAGGCGCAGATTCTCCACCATCAACGCTTCAATGCAGGTGCCTCGGAGGCCGGTGATTTGTTATGCATAGGCTTCGCAAGAGACCGCCGATTTTCCTGAGAGCTGAGAGCCGCGGGTATTGACTGTAGTTCCTCACAGACGCCCTCTGTCAAGCTGGAACCGCAAATCATTGACTCACTAAAAAACCCAGGACTCAGCCTAAGCCGCATCTTCTGCGGTATCCCGCATGGGATTCCTCCCTGGGCTTGTTCGCAGCGCGACCGTTGCCGACGGAGCCGAGGCACAAAATGACGAAAATTCCCCGAAGCGCAATCAAATGAATACAGTCTTGATTTGGAATGAGCACAAAGACTCGGCGATCAGAAAAGAGCGATGGTCTCTAGCCCGAAAAATCTCAATGCTCAATGCTTCCTTAAAAGTAAGATGACGCTCTGCTGACCCAGACTCCGAGTGAGACACTGTAGCCTGTAACCCCGGGCCCAGCCGTGAATGTCGGTAGTGCACTGTCCACAGTGAGCCCTCCTCCAAGAGCTCAGGAGACCTGGAAAGCTGGCCTTGGCGATTGGAAACAGGTTCAATCAGCGCTTCTGAGCCTATCCTACCACCGAGGCCGAAGGCCGGCGGAGTTCCGCTGCCGTGAGATCTTCGTGACGTGGCTGTGAGGAAATGGAACGAGACAGGTGGGAGCTACTGCTATGTCGGTAAACATACGGCGGTGGCACCACCGATGAACGACCTCAGCGGCTTCATTGAACACTCCGGAAATGTCCAGAGCTCAGGACCCTGCGGATGATCGATGACAAATCGCACCGAAATCGGTGAGTGCTGTGTATGCAGTCATCGTCGAGCTATCAGGGAGAAGAAAGTCCCGCCAGATGTGAGCCCTCTTAAGTGAAAATGCAGACGTTCCTCGATGGTACGGCGAATGGGTGCCATCCAGCTGTCGGGTGATAGCCCCTCGAATTCGAGACTCAATATTCGTCCATGAGCTTTTGTCCCCACCCTCCAGTGGCAGAGCATGGTCTTTCTCATGGCGGATCCGAAATTATCTCGGGCCTCCCTGACAAGTTCAGTTGTTAGTAGTCGTTTCCTGACCACTTCCTCCTCGATCTAAAAGTCGCGGAGCATCCAGTTCCTCGAGATGCCGCTATCGGAGATTCCGATGTACGGCTGGTCAGAGCGGTTCGCGAATCATGAGCATATTGGTTCGGACTGCGTCATCGTGGTCACTCGCGCGAAGTCGCGGCCCTAAATTGCGCTGCCGGTAAGTTCGCTCGGGAGCCCGGAATGGTTTCTCCATGGGGAGCCCGTGGCTGGCGTCCATCCGGAAGAAATTATGTATCGAATCCCCCGGCTTGGGTGCTGCTGAGAGATGTCTCGACTACGCCGGGAGGGAGTCCGGATAGAGAAAAATCGGTGGAGCGTGGGGGAATATCAGCCTTATCCATGGCGGATGAGGAGAACGAAATGCCGCTCACATCTAACGCGCCGCATTTTCCCGAGTCTCGAAGATCTTCCCTGGACCCCGCTCCTTGCACTATGCTTGTCTCAGATAAATCGCCGACCGCAAGTCCGACGAGCTATGGCATCAGATGCCCCTTGCAGCGCAAGGATAGAGATCGCTGACAATGATTGAGAGCAATGATCAGACGCTGCGATCCCGCGCAAGAAACGCTCGGAAGATTATTTTTCCGACTGTTTTCAATCGCTTGGATGACGAGGAAACAATTTCTGGGAGATGCTCCCACACGGATCCTCATAGTGTTTATCAACGCCGCTCCTTATGCGTGTTGAATCGTGCCTCTGAAGCTCATTCTCTTGTGAGTTATGAAGCCTGCTCCGAGTATTGTGAGAAAGTTTGCTTATCGTGGTGGGGAGATCCGTGCAGAAATGGGGGCGTGCCGGGTTGTATGATGAACTAGGGATGCATTTGCGCATTCTCCCGAATTTATACACACCGCTCATGCCTCCACATCAGCTCCGATCGAGAGGATTCCACCGGATCAGAGACGGAGCTCCATATCGAGTGAGATTGTGCTGGTTATCGAGCTGACTGAACCATTTTCGCAGGTGACACAGAAACCGCTGTCAGAAGCCTCGAACTCCGCGATGCTGAGACGAGCCACGAAACTAGCGTGCCTCGGAGCGGCTGCCGGAGGAACCTACCTGTCTTTCCAGCACAATGATCTTAAGCATTTGGCGGTGTGTAGGGTCTCTCGATCGATGTTCACGGTCGGGGGCATCGTTGCCGACTACAAAACGTCTCTATCGAGGGTAGAAGAGACGGCTCCGAACTACTCTGAAATTCGACATGGATTCCATCAGAGGAGTGCAGAGCGACTCTTGAAGCTTTGTTGTGAGAATGGTGGTTGTTATATCAAAGTCGGTGAGTACCAATCATCCGAACGAATCCCTGGGATGATTCATCTTCCAATGACTGCCAATAGAACTCATCGATCATCATGATCGACTCATTCGATTTGATTATTACTACATAGTCGATATGGGACTCGGAATAATGTTCCCAATATCCGGACAGGTCAACACGTTGCAGCGTTGGAATTCTTGCTGCCTGAGGAGTACATCACTACTCTGAAAGTACTTCACGCAAACGCACCTCAGTCCTCATTAGAGTCTGTGAAGAGAGTTCTCTCAGAAGAGTTGGGTCGTCCCTATGAGGAAGTATTCGATGACTTTGACGAAAAGCCGATTGGTTGCGCCTCCTTGGCTCAAGTAAGGAACACGATATGCTCGGATGTCCGATGAGCGGATTAGATCGAGTTTTTCGAATACTCTACCTGGATATAATGATCTGACTCTCTGCTGAATTTTGATTCCAGGTGCACAAGGCCAAGTTGCGAAATGGAGATACCGTAGCCGTCAAAGTGCAGCACAACAATGTTTATAGAAATTCGTTCACCGACATGACGGTTATGGAGGGATTGGGTCGACTCGTAGATAAACTATTCCCCGAGTTTTCTCTGCTGTGGTTGGTGGACGAGACGAAGATCAATCTACCGAAAGAACTCGATTTTGTGAATGAGGCCAACAACTGCGACAAGGTTAGAGGCCTTCTGAAGTCATTGCCATGGGTTCGTGTCCCGAGGATACGACGCGACTTGACCACGAAACGAGTTCTCGTCATGGACTACGAAGATGGCGGTTTTGTAAACGATAAAGAGTACCTGATCCGCAACAAAATCTCTCCTATAACAGTCGCGCAGCGTTTAGGGAAACTCTACTCGGAGATGATTTTCGTTAACGGATTCGTTCACTGTGATCCTCATCCCGGCAACATACTTGTTGACAGTCAGGGTGACTTGATTCTCCTCGACCACGGTCTCTATTCTCAGCTTTCTGATAGGTTCCGACTGCAGTACACCAACATGTGGTTGGCTCTCATTCGACGAGACATACCGGCAGTTGAGCGGATTGCGGTCGAGATGGAAGTCCCGGCTTACCTCACGAAAATTCTCGCAAGCATTCTCACTGGACGTCGTTGGAAGTCAATCGAGGTCGGTGAAATCGCGAAGAGTAACACGGACGCCGAAGCAAAAGAGATCAAGGCCTGGGCTTCGGAACACGTGGATCTCATTAATGCTGTCCTTCAGAAGGTTCCTCGAGAGATGCTGCTGCTTTTCAAAACAAATGACCTGATCAGGGGTATTGAGAGCTCATTGGGTGTCAGTCGGATGGCAAAGTCTTTTGTAACCATGTCTCAATGCTGTGTGAGAGCCGTTTATGGAGAGAAGCTCAAGAACTCTGGTCGGGTGTCCCGGGTGACCCTGAATTTTGCCAAATGGCTATCACTCCTCAAAATCTCGGTCCAGCAATGGTTCTTGTGGATGACGGTCGTCGTCTCCGACAGGTTCCGATTGTAGGGTCGACGTGCAGCCGGTTCAAGCTCATTCGGAGCCCGAGATATATATTTATAACTTGCGTAGGTTCTCAGTGTGGCCTAGATCGCTCCCAGCTGATTTCACCCAGATCGAAGCCCTTTCATGTTGATGAATCAGTTGGTTGTAAGGTCAGTGATCGGATCTTTATTTGTGATCTAGCAGGTATTTTTGTATGACACGAATTAGCGGGTGATTTCTTATCTAATAAATTACCCGGTACAAAATTCATCGAGACGTGTTCTATGCTCCATCTAACCTGAGCGAGGGTCATCGCGGGGACTCCGATCTTGGATATTTGACCGAACGAAGAACGATTCCAACGAACTCATAGATATAAATATATTATATGAATATTTATAGGTATTCGTGATGAAGTCGGAGAGTCACGAGTCGTTCCAAAATGAGCTACGAGTCTCCGTAGAGACATCACCGGGATTTCCAGAGATTTTTGGCTAGACCGAAATCGGCGCTTCTCAAAATAGCGCTCCCACAACCCGCACCCGAGATCGATGATAATAATTATCATCGATAGATTCTACGGCATGCTAGAGCGTCTCATCGAAGACGAGAATCAACAAGAACAAAATAGAATGGGATAGTTTAACTTCGGCTTTACCAATCCTCATCATCATCATCGTCGGATGTCCGATAGAACTCCTCCTGCTCTGAGTCCGACCGGGGGGTGACTTTCTGTCGGAGCGGGACGACCTTACACCACTCCTGGTCGAACGCGCGATTCAATAGGTCGATAAGGTCCCGGTGGATATCACTGTGCTTGTGACGGAGGAAGCAATCCAGTACATGATCGAAAGCCGCTCGTAAGCGCTGGAATTGTTGTTATACGTCATAATTGGCGCGCGATCTGGACAGCGAGTATCTCCACGACATTACCGCAGGGACTCACCTTGATGAGTCGCGCAGCTTCCGGCTCACTGTGTATTCTCATCCAGTTGTTAACCGTGAAAAGCTTGTCCGCGATGTCATATTCGCACTCAGCAGCGAAGATCAGCAGCGATAGGGGATGCACGGCCGTGGCATCGAAGAGTGCTACTCCGTTGTCGCCGCGTTGTTTGAGAAAGTAAGCGAAAAAGAGAGTATTGGATTCCGTTTCTCTGGATAAAACACTCTTCGAATGGAAACAGATCCTGCTCTCAGATTTTGAGAAGAGCGTCCTGGCCAACCTGCAACATTCGAATCGTGTCTGAGTTGCTCCATGTGCTGCATCTATCCTGGATATCAGATATCAGACATTATTGGCTAGGTATCCGGATATTCTCATCGATCTATCGTTTGTATGCCAACAGAACGGCATGCCAATCTATTCTTCGATCCCCTCATCAGGCGATGGCCCGGCAGAGCATGCTATTCTTTTGGAACAGGCCGCTCTATTGGAATGTATACTTAGAACATATTTCCGATAGCATCTCCTCTATTCTCACCGGACAGATCCACCGGTAGGATATCTGCATTTTGAATTCGTGGCCGGGCATCGCGCCATTGCGATGCCGGGATAGAGTCCTCCGCATATGACAGCCCTCAGTGTCTCGAGGCTGAAGTTCGGATGCGCCCCCGACAGCTTCTGTTCCTTGAGGTGTTGTTTGTACTGCTTGCGTAAGTTCTTGAGCATCTGAATACGAGAGATAGATTGGTACATTCAGGATCAGCACTGGTTGTGGGGAGACTTGATGAACAGTAATAATCGATGGTTCTCACTCTCATGGTCAGGAAGGAGAGGAATTTATCCCTATAGTGTGCTTCTCCACGATCGAGGGCGTACTGGATCGCATTGGCGACCATCACGTGGTCGGATCGGGAACCGTCTGCGAACTTGGATCGGACGGCATCCACGTTCTGTCTTTTGCCCTGTTTCGATTCGATAGGGTGTCAGCATCGATGTTGTAATGAACTTTCCTGGCGCTCGCCTGCGAGCTTCATGATGCTCGCTCCATCGAATGAATAAAGATTAATAAAGAGGTCCCGAATAGTCTTCGAGGCGTAGCCCGAGTTTACTGACCAGGGGTGTCACGAAGGGTTCCTTGAAGTCGAGTGCGGCGCAGATCGACGTCACAGCATCTTCGCAACCGAAAAGCTTCCCGAGTAAGAGCATTTTTCCGAGTCGAGGCTCTGTCGGTAGACTTGCCAGATATTTACCTAACGCAGTCACTTTCGAATGCTTATCGAGAGCTTTCTGAAAAAAAAATCCTGAGGATCCCCCACTTCGATCCAATGGCCGCTACAGTCTGGACTCTTCGTATACGTAGTTTCTTTCACTATCACGAAAACTTGACCCAGAGCATCGCCCCAGATCCGAATTCGGCCAGGAGAATCAATCTGTAGTCGGAGTAGCGACGTAGACTCACTAATTGAATGAGAAACTGCTTGGAGTTTGCTATTGCCTCGCTTGAGGGTGGGCTTATACACTGTGGCAGGAACTCTTCGGGCTCCCCCAGCTCCAGCTCCTGTAAGGCATGAGAATTCAACTTGGGCTTCACCCAATATTCAGGCTGTACGAGATATCTTGAGGATTTATATCGCTCCGGTCTCGAGTCGTTTAAAACGAACCTTAACGTAGAGAATGAGATTTTCGAGAGACGAACGGACCATCTCTGGCTGTTGGTACTGTTCCATGTTCTCGTAATCCATTTTCGTGTACAGTTTGTAGCATTCGCCTGCCCGGACTCTGGAAAGGAGACTCGCATCCTTTTCCGCCCTCATTCGCATCCACGACCTTTGAAGACCACGCGAGGACTCGTTTCATTCCGGAACTCACCTGCCCGCTCGGCCGAGGCGCTGGCGCGCATTTGCTTTCGAGATCCACTGCTCGCTAAGGCAGTTAAGATTGTCTTTGCCAACGTCGATGGTCTTGATTTTTGTCTTGCCAGAATCGACGACGAACACCACGTCTTCTATGGTAACGCTGGTCTCGGATATAATCGTGGAGACGATTATTTTCCGCACACCTTCCGGAGGAACGTCGAAAACCCGCCTCTGATCTTCTGTCGGGAGCATAGAGTGCAGAGGAAGGATGATGGGGTTGCCTGCGAGCGGGGACAGGGCTCGTTTTTACTAATCTTATCGGTCACTGTTGTGGAGAAAGATATAGTCCGACGAAAAGAAAGTTCCCGCCCCCATCTAGGGCGGCGGGGCCGGAAACTTTTTCCGGAGATCGCTCACCTCGATTAATGGCTGGACATTCCGATAGTTTTCTGCATACCTCGGATATGCCCTCCCAACCAGGCATGAACACGAGGATCGCACCATCACCCTTGGTTGCGCATATGTGCTGAACGCAAGCAACCACCAAAGAACAGTCCACTTTTGCCGCGCTTATTTTGGACAGGGCGAATACTTGCGGTTCCTTATATCTGAGGAAGGATTCGAATTGGCGCCTGAGGGAGCTACGAAATCTGTCTTCCTAGCGTGATGAGTGCTGAGCACCACCTAGATTCTCTATCGTGAATTCCCGATCCAGGTTGTTACCCGTATTTTCTTAGACGATCCGCGCGCTCAGTCCTCTCTCGGAGGGCTTTCTTGTCCAAATACGACGGTGGAGGATGATAGGGCAGCGTTTCGAGAAATTCTTCTAAGAATCGCTCCTGAATCGGGAACAGTTTCCCGTCCACGGAAACACTTCGGCAAGCTTCCCCGAAATACCTTGGGGTGGAGAGAAAACTATCTGTACACGACGGCTCTGAGCATAGGGAGATATGATTGTGCGACCTATATCTCGAGACCTCATTGGTCTCAGGAGGGTCCGGCCTGCATACCCAACGAATGTGGAGCTATCCAATGTTGCCGACATGCAAATCACTTTGAGATCGGGACGCTTAGGCAGAATATTTTGACGAAGCACAGCCAGCAGGAGATCGGAGTCGATGCTCCTTTCGTGGACTTCATCGACGATCAGGTGAGTTATGTTCCCGAGCAGTCTACGGAAATGGTATCATCATATTAGACGTTGCGCGATGGGGACATCGGGTCTCCGAGCGAGTGGGGCTCAGATAACTCACGGGTCCGATTGCAGGAATTGCAGAATGATCCCGGTGGTGCAGAAAAGTATTTTACCGGAGCTCCCCCGAGGCTCCTTGGACTCGAGTCGGATTTTGTATCCGACGCTGTTTTCGCCGATGAGCTCACCTCTCTCTTCAGCAACCCTGAGGATAGAATCGCGGATCATGTAATAATCGCTCAGATATCTGAAGACGATAACCATCTGGAAAACGAATTTCCCCGACGACGGATGAATTCTGCGATCCTATGGGAGCTCACCGCTCAGCGACAGAAATGGCCGAAATTCGTCTAGGTTGAGTACAAGCGATGAAGCAGCTCTTCCGCGTCTCATCTTCGAGGAATTGATCCAGAATGAATTGAGGCACTTGGGTGGTTTTGCCGCTCCCGGTCTCGCCGGATATAATCGTCACTTGACTGCGAATAGGGATGAATAGCATGTTTTCTCTCAATACGCGCTTCTGATAATTATTAAAAGGGGTCGAATAATTACTTCTCGCTTATTGTTCGCAGTACTTCGGCTCGGGCCTTGAAGACTGGGAGCTTCACTCTCGAAGCTTTTATGTAGTCCTGAAGGAAGAAGGATTCCTCAGCCCCGAGAATGGAACGCGATCCACAAACTCTGTGTGAATCCTACCCCCCGAAGAGAAGCCTAATCTTTCCCCGCCTCCCGGCCTTTATCATCGCCCCCGGTCTTGCATACCCAATCATCGTCCAGCACATCTGCAGTCCAGAGGAATCGAGTATCCACTCACCGGTACTACTGGTAGTTTGCGCGGTCCGTTCGATAGGGATCCGCAAACGAGCCATCTCGATGATGGCCTTCCAGGAGCCTGCTTCCGTTGCTGCATCTCGGCCTCGAGACATCCCAAACAAGGGTCGAAAAGTCTCGCGAGACTGTCATCGAACGAAACTGAGTTCAGGTACACAAATTCCCTTTTTTGGCGATTTCGCCTGTGGAGATCGTTCCCTGATCTGAAATCCCGAGTTCCACTTGAGGGCTCCGTGTAAAGATCTTTGAAACATTAAACCCGTCCTTCTATCATTCTGCTCCACACTCCGCGGAAACCATGATCGCGATGCCTCGCGATATTTTTCATACAATGCTCGCGGTGATCGGGGCACAAGAAGCGCCGACGGAAATGCGATTTGACGCCCCTGTCCGGAAGGGGCAGTCATTTCCAGTATCCTTCGGTACTCGGGATCCCTCCCACGGTTGAGGTCGGGAGCTGTTCGTCGTTCAGGAGCGATATCATCCGACCATTCCGCGAAAGGCGATGGCTAGCGTAGACCCATGGTTATTATGAAACGCTGAGATCGCACGAGTGGTGCACACGGCAGGCGTGATACTCTTTGAATTAATTTGACGGACAAGTCGTCCCGGGTGAATTTCTCTTATACATCGAAATATGGGGCGATTACGGTGATATAGCTTACTTGTCGCGTTGCGCGTACCAAAGCCCGATCTCGCGACCCTTGAGATGTTTCGGGTGCTTGAGATCGGATGTCCCCTCATGTCGGGTCTGATCCCCACCGGCATGTCCATCGGAGCCCACGGACACTCCTTGAAAAAAATATTCGCTTCTGCTACTGTATCGTGAACGAAGCCCCGTAAGGCGCGATTCTCCGGATCTCGATACGAGCTTCCGGGCTCTCGAGTTGGTCTCTCGAGCGGATGATAGATTTGATACCAACCTCGTGGTCTACGCCACGGAAGCCTCGCAGACATCCCCGCAGTCACCGCTGGGGCTGATCTGCGGATCATGTACTTCAAATACGAATGTGGGGTTCTGACGGGATCATGCAGTGCCCGATCAAAAGTACAACCGGTCCGCAGGTAGAGCTCAACGGGGAAGCCGGACCCGGATCCTCAACGGATTCAAGCTTCTTCTATGCGAAAACTTCAACGCGTCACCACATCGAACATACTCTTCGTGTCAATAGACGCATCCCCGGAAGAAACAGATTTGCAGAATCGAACGCGATATCACAGCTGAGAAGAGAAGAACGGGAGCCTTTTCAAAAATGCGCGCCCCTACAGAGCTGCCGGCAGCCGGGGCGTCCCCGGACCCCGAGTCTTTTTCACCGTCGATGTGGGTCGACTCTGATCGCCCCGTCGTGATTCCGAGCCTGCTCATGGGGCCGGGAGCGCACCCCGTTCGCGACCTTAGCCTCGCTCGAGGGATCCGAGCTGACCTCTCAAGTGCGAACTCCGCGGTCGAAATCGGTCGGAGCGATTCATAATTGGCGCCCTCGAAAAGTTCCTCTCCACAATCGAAACCAACAAAAAGGCGGCCTTCCCCTGACCAGTAGTCTTTCTTTTCCGGCTGTCAGCTGTTGAAGACGTTTGTCTAAGCGGTAGTGCATCAAAAAAATTAGACAAAATGCTCATCTACAAGGATATCATCTCCAGTGAGTAGTATGATATAGCTCCTAGTTGCGGATCTCACGAGGCTTCGCGGGTATATCCCGACTCAGTGACTCTACGACTCGAATTCTGGTGAAGCTTCGGTTCCCACGTGGCACGCCGGTTTTGGTGACGATTTGGACCGGTATCGGGCTGGAAATTCGAATTCTCGGAGCTGCTTCTCACGTTCGAGACGATTTCCATCAGAGCTCCGAATCGCTCAGGGTCATTGCCACTCACGTGAGCGACGTTTCTCCCGTTCTGCCGGGGCGGCATCCCGACTTGGGCTTCGGAGGCAGCTACTCGTCGCTGAAAATCCGGGAGCGTCCCGGATTTCGCTGCCGATGCGTCTCAGTGAGCTCTTCTTGGTGCGACCAGATTTAAATCGAATCCAGGGTCACGTCACCCCTTATCGAACACATGGCCGTCAAGATCTCCACGTCCTCTTTTGGAAAGGGCGGACAAACTGGCGATCACACGTGCTGCTGCCGCGCCACCAGTCCATCGCACCGAGAGGTTATGGGACAGCCGGCGACAGAGGCGCCTGACTCATCGTTTGGTTCGGAAGACCTTTCCGAGCGACGGAGTTTCGTGTTCCAAAAATGGGCGTCGATGAATTTCTATCCTCCGGAGTTCCTCGATCTTCGAAAAGGACCGGGGACTGTTCCCCCCTCATTTGTCGGCCAACCTCTTTATCGAATTTCGTGCGAGCTTTTTTTTGACGCGAACACCGAAAATGCTATCTTCGTGGGTCGATCTCTCTCTGGGGATGTCCGAACCTATCCGAGCCCGTCACAAATGCACGTCTTTCGCCAGCGATTTTTCTAACCAGACTCCCCCTCCACAGACGATGAGATGTTCACCGATACGACGAAGGTCACTCTTGTGGAAAACTCCGTCTATGAGGTCCTCTGCAAGCACGTCGTGCGAAGAGAAGGTGAAATCGTCCTCGCTGGATCGAATCCGTCCGCCGAGGAGGCCGATGAAGGTGCAGATGACAGTTGCCAAGCCGGTCTCGACGTTGTCCTCAACCAGCGTCTCCAGGAAACGTCGTTCGACAAGGCAGGCTACAAGACCTACCTGAAGACGTATACCAAGGCCCTCCAAGAGAAGTGGAAGGAGCTGGAGTACTCCGACGAAAAGATCGCTGAGCTCAAGAGCTCTTGCATGGCTGGTGTCAAATTCATGCTGAGCAAGATGGACAAGGACAGCCAATATTTCCTCGGCGAGTCCATGAACCCCGACGGTATGGTTGCTGTTCTGAACTACCGCGACGGAGAAGATGGAAACGAAGAGGCAATCATGATGTTCCTCAAGGCTGGACTCGAGGAGGAGAAATGTTAAGGCTGATGAACTTCGCTAGTTCCGATTGGATCAATTAGGGACAGGTTTACGGGGACTATGATTCGGCCTCAATTCGGTCGTGTAAATTATGGGTTTAAGCTGCGTTGAGTAATGTTCCGAACCGACGTCGTCGCACTCCGCCACCGTTAAACATTCAACAGTTGATGAAGAGCCAAAGTTGGAAGAAGGTCCTTGGAGGGAAGCAGCTTCTCAGCGGGGAAAAAGTTACGGAAATCCTCTCAGAATAAATTGTTGGACTTTACTCAAAAATCTTCATGCATCCTTCATTCGAAAAAGTTTGCCAGAAAGCGAAATTATCGTGAAGCTAGCTGACTGCTGATTGAAAGTCCGGTGGATCTGTACGAGTTTCTAGGAGTTGCTCCGAATTTCGGTGACTTCGACTGACCGAGCGTCGACGGGTTCCATGGAGGTCCCCTCACCTGGAGCATGAAAGATCTAGGTCGTGATATATCAGTTTCGATGGCGGATTCACACGAGCAGAAGAGAGGGATGTACGCAGATGGATCATTCGATCGGACTCGGGATCCGAATGAAAGAGCATTGAGGATATGTTTTCGGATGGGAAATTGGAGCAGGCGGCTCGTCTTGAGAGAAGGTTAATTTCATCGAGATTTTTACAGCAAAGAAGCTTAGAGATACGAACTCTCAGCTTCCCCTTACGAGGGGGATCCTAATTTCGACTATTCCTCAGCTCTCTGCGCACGCTCGTTCGTCATTATGCTGCTGGAGACGCACCTCCTGAGACTGAGACCGATTGTGGCCTGAGGGGGAGGCTCGAGTTCGTGCTTCTCCCACACATTTACGGGAAACGAAGCTTCGGAATGTAAGGCCTCAGCTCTTGGATGACGACACCTCGTAAATCCTCACGTCTCACGCTCGATGTCTGAACAACGCAACGTGCAGCAGAATGCTTTCCGGGCGTGGATTGGATACCACAATCGCTCCAAGTTCCCCTGAGGTCAGCATCGTCATCCTGGGGAGTTTCCTCAATTTCATCGCTAGAACTATCTACGGTCGTGCTCACGCGGGGAGTCGCCCAAGCGGAGCTTCCATTAGCGACTCCAAGCACTCCCCGATTTCTGAATCACCACCAAGGATCGACTGAAGTTGGAGTAAAACTAGGGTCCGATGCCTTCAACGTGGAGACAAGGCACTCCCGCGGGCTGTCGCGACGTGATTCTGCTCAGGCTGCCGTTCGATAAACACCCCACCGGCGGAGTGGAATTTGGACGATGTGGTGACACCTTCGTCTCCAACATTGCGGAGCATACGTCAGCCGTTCCCAGCGATATTCATGTCGGCGACTTCGTCGAAGAGGTCAGTAGGAACAAGTCTCTCCTTGTAATAGAATCATGTAATCCCGAAAGCGAGATCCTTGGCCTTATTCCCAGGTCTTTAAATTGGTCGCGGGGAAAAATCGCCGAAATTGCGGCAGAATCTCGGTGAGGTTCAGTAGAATCTCGGAACAGCGCTTAAATCGCTCTAAACCTCAGGAAGACTCGATATTTGCTCGAACTTTGCGTGACGGGCTGCTCCTCTGAGCTACCGTGCTCTGCGAGCTTTTCCCTAGTAGCGGATCCTAATTCTACTCCTTTTCAAATCCGGGACCAAACCGGAGAGCTAGCTGTGACCTCTACGAGCCTCGTAGAGTTCCCATGCTCAAATTCAATTCTATGATGAAAATACGTTTCTTGTGCTTTTCTGAGGGGAATAAGATAAATGAATTATGGCTTGTGAGGACGACGCAACTGCTGGAAACTGACGATACGGCCCTGCCTACAAGGAATCTCTGACACTATGGAGAGATGTTTTTCCCCTCGTCTCTAAATCAAAATCATCATGATCAGGTGGCCGGAGTCCGTTGCCGGGATGTTCCGCTCGCGGAGCTGGAGCACCTGATGAGGGATTCACTCGCCGGTCGCGACGGTCAAGTGCGGCTGAAACTCAGGTCGGATCGTAGGATCGTGATCCCCCGTTCTGTGGACGAACAGAAAAACTGTTTGAGAGCAAGATCGCGATTGTTCAGTACGCATCGATGGATTACGAAATGAGAGGGCTTGATCCAATGCGGTTATAATTTCGTCGGGCATTCATGCGCTTTGCATATACCGTCCCCAGAATCGAGGAAAGCGATGCGGTCGATGAGCAAGATGACTCCGATGGAACCTTCTGGGCATGGAATAGAGATCAAGCTTAGGCTTGAAGACGATGTTATTATCCCAACCCCTGACAGGCGAACAGAAATCAAGAAATGCAACCTTGATATGCGACCAGAACGTAAGTAATCGATCGGTGAGAGAGTACGCTTCTCGACACAGGATTATTTTTGGGAAAGTATTCGGTCACAAGAGAGTGGGTGACATCCTCCTCGTCATTCCACAGCAAGGAGAGACAGTCGCCCACCTTCTCCGCCTCGCAAGGACGGGGCGACAAACACCGAGTTCACTGCCAGCTACGTCTTCAGAGCTGAAGAATTCAAAGCTCTCCTGAAGTCGCAGAAAAAAAGAGACACTCGACAAGAAGGAATATTTGCCAAACAGGTTCAGGCATTCAACAGAATGGGAATTAGTGACGACTGGAAACGTCATCGGAATTGGAGAAATAAGGGACATGGAAAAGCAACGAAGCATCTCAAAGCATCGGAATCCGATCGGGGGGAGTCGAAAGGATTCTATTCTCCTCCTCATGAGACTTGTCTGAAGTCCGCTCTCAGCTGCCTCGAGCGCGCGCTCAATCCGAGCGGGGATTCGGAAAGAAATTCGAAGTGATTGGGCTCGGATAGATTCCCCACGAGCTTGTCACTTGATTCTCCAGGGAACATTCTCGATCCGAATAGATCGAAGTACTTTAAGCACGCCTCCTATCTGATTCTTGGATGAGCGGGCGCAATGCCTCGCCTCCTGGGAGGTTCCGCCAGGATAAGGGCAGATTAGAGCTTGGCTTGGAAATTCGAGGAATGCTTCGACACGTTGAGGGGAAGCTTACGAAGCTTCAATTATTGGGGTCTTGCGCGTGACTGTACCGTCCTGCTTCCATCGCATGGAGATTCACGATTAGCCGATCTCGGACATTGGGATCAATAAAGACGTCGTTACACTTTAGAGTAGTGTAATCGAGTTGCGCCGGTTATTATGGGGAGGCTCGCGTTCTGTCCTGGGTTTGGAGGTACTGAGAAATACTTGAAAGTTCGGATGCTTAGTTGTGATCATATCACTGTACTCAAAGCGGAGTCCCCAGGGACGATTGATACGATATACCTAGGTAGAGGGATCGATATGCGCTACGCCGTTCCGGGAAGGGGGAACTATCGCACGGTGCTACCGGGGTAAAATATCGCCCGCGCCCCTAGCACGGATCGTCTGATTATGAAACTCGAGGCAGAAGTGCTCGCTCGAGGAGTTTCCGCATAAACTGCTAGGCATTGACAGAGCGTATTCATAGTACATGTTCAGCGCGACGAATCTGAACTTACAGTGGAAAGAGACGTTTTCCCTCCGAACGGGTACTCTTCCCCGATCCGACGCGGATATCAATGTGTATCAGCGATGACGGCTCAGCGGGACGAATTTCAACTTCAAGGGGCAAGAGAGCTATTTCCCCAGGTTCTGAGAACATCAACCGTGTCCGGAGCCTATACCGATCATCCATTGAGAGACAATTTTTCGAAATTTCATGCGGCCTGGCGCAATTCTCCCGGGAATCAGTGGGGTCCCTCCTCATGCCGATCGGCTCAATCAATTCGAGATAATCTCTGATGTCCCTGTCGAGAGAATCGATCCAGAAATCAACCGCATAATCCATCGAAAAATGGAGAACTCGGAACCTTGATCGAGGCGCACCAGACACCGGAAAGTGCCGGTTCCCAGGCGGAGGTCCCCGGCGCTCTTCAGGAAGTATGCACAGTTTCCGACATTTCCAGCTATACATATTGTGGACGCGGTTCGAGAGCGGACCTCACTCAATGATTCATTGAGTGACTGAACATTCTCGGCATGACTCTGACAATAATTCCTTATCACTCGGCTTCGGCTATTCGCAGTAATTTTTAGCCGGGGCTTATCATTCCTTGTGTCGTCGAGTCCAATCAAAGCGACGAATTTCCGGCATGGCATTTCTCATGGAGTAGCTGTCTGCGTTGCGGGAGTCGGAGCCCGCTGCTTCCACAGCCATTCATTCACATTGAGCGATGGATACTCGAAAAATCGGCTTGATCATCTGATATCAGAACTTGCGTCACTAGACGGCAATCGTCACCCACGGGAGCGCATCCGGAGCGGATTGAATGCATCCCTTAGAGCGGGTCCCCAGACTACAGAGACCTCATCGCGTCGAAAATTTAAATGTACTCGATTCGGTCTGAAGATCAATTCCTTCCTTCTGGCTAGGTGCCATAAGATCTGAAGGTCGGGGATCTCTCACTACCTCATTGGATCAATACTCTCCGCAACGGCGATGCTGACGGTCAGAATGACGTAGAACTCTTTAGCCAGGGCTCGAGAGCCTATGAAACGCACCTTGTGGAACACTAGCGAGCGCTTCGTTTATGAATGACGCTGAAAGAGCCGGCAGAGGTGAATAAAAATAGAGCTCGCATGGCGTTACAGCTGCGGGAAAGACCCGATGACGACGGCGACGTGGCTTCGCTGTGAACTGAGAGCTTGTATTCAAAATCCCGTGGAAATCATCTCCTGCCTGAACCTCGCAGGGAATACACCAAATCGCCGGCTCTTCAGGAAAGAGGAATCGACTCCCCCCCAGAGCTCGGGGCAGCTTTATTTTGGCGGTAGATACGCCGTTTTTTCCGCCTCCTCGGACGCGGAACGGTTTTGTTCGCTCACGATTATTGACAGCCTCAGGTAGATTCCCATTCTGAGAATCTCCTACGCTCGAAGCCTGCTGAAAACAGATACGGGCTAAATCTGTTCTGGAATGGAATTCTTGACGATGAAACCGGTAAGCTGGAATCAAGTGCACAAGAAATCTTCAGAATGAGGGTCACCTATCGGGTACCTGAGTCGACCATAGGGCGGGACCTTCAAACTTCTGTGGTCGAAGAGTCAGGGTAGAGATCCGGATTCGACGATGCCGTTGATCAGATGCGGCCGGATTGTGAGGTGAGAGTAAACTTCCTGCTTTTCTGTGTATGGCGAATTCGAGCACTTCAGATACGCTGTCTTCGTCAGCGCCTGCCCGTCTTGGCTCGTACCGGCTCGCACGACATCCGGATGTAGAATATCCGTTGCGCTCGCCGTGGTTTCACCGACGTACGCGGTGCAGGAATGACAGTAGTGAGTTTTCTGAGGTCTTTCCGGATCATTGGCGAAGACTCATCGCTGCATAGATACTTTGATGACCTTTTGCGAGATACTCCTCATGAGCTAATATTGTTTTCCCGCAAGAGTCTCTCCACTGACGTCAGCCGCATGGCACCATGTTCTCCGTTCGACGACTAGGGGACTACGTAAATTCCGTCAGAACCGAGAGGAGCAGATACGGGCTCGTTGTCGACTTGTCGTCATGTCACCGCAAAAGACCCAGCTCGAGTTTCTGTCGATGCGATTCCGGTATCCAACGTAACCGTAACATGCCCCCCCCCTCCGGCGGCAGGAGTCGCGCGTCAGGAATCCAGTTCAATCCGCTTTAGGAACGACCGAGAGACTTTCACGATGGGATGATTCCCGGAAGAAAGTCTCCTCTGCAGCCCTTGCCCTATAGTACAGGAGTAGAACACATTTCGATCCCAAGGTGGGGTTTCCCATGGAGATCAATCTCGGGTGTGTATCGGATGTTTCGATTCCCTTTCGACTCCGAGCTCGTAACAATTCAACAGATCGAGATATCGGATCGTCGAGTCTCAGTTTCCCATCCAATGGGAATCAACTTCGACCGTAATCGTGATCACTCTCCATGCGACTTGACCGCGATATGACATAGACGCAGACGGACAAGTCGAACGAGTTTTTAGGGAATCTCCCCGATCGCGACTCGGATGATCCGAGAGCCTTGCAATCACCCTGACGCTCGAAAATGTCCTAATAATACTCTTTTCACCAAGTGTGACAGTGAGTGCCCTAGGGCGACGCGATGATTCAGCGCACCGCTATCATCAAGGGACGTAGAGACTCCCATTTGAGCGACCACGGAAAACAGTGTCTCGTTTCAGCTTGATACCTAACGTTCACTGGAACTCCCCGCGAGATATTCCGGGCATTCTCGGATCGACGATGCATGTCGAGCGGTAAATGCATGTTCAGAGTAATTCCGTCAGGTCTATACAATAATTTCAGTCGTGACCTCGCGGTCCAAAGCTTGATCTGCCGAAATCATCTGCGGTAGCAGTCAAAAAGATGCGAGTGAGAAGTTCGGCAGATGATGACAGCTTGGTGCCGCTGGGTGCTTCATGCTTCAATCTGTGGCTGGGCGTTTGCGTGTTTACTCGCGCACGATCGGCACACCATATTTCTAAATATTTAGGAGTCTCGTCCGACACTCGCCGTTTCCGTCTACTGATTATTGGCCCCAGAATCGCACGCGGGTGGATCGAGATATCTCTCGTGGAGGAGTTGATAGGACCAGAGATCTCCTTCTGGCTATCCTATCATTGTCGAGAGGCCTAAGACAAATAGTTTCTCGGAGCCTTGTCGTTTATCTTCTCCCGTCGGGGCTGCCGCTAGTCAGTGAATCTAAACAGGAAAAATAACAGGCTTACCATCATCGACCGGCTTTCGCCGTCGTCGCGGGGCGGAGCTCGAACGAATTCGATGTCTCGACAATGATCACGGTGACAGCACTTTAGCGTCTCGATTCGTCGCTTGCCATGAATTACTGCTCCCAAGTGTTACTAAATCGTGTAGTTCACTGTAGATTTCCGAACTCTTATCATTGTCGTAAAGTGCTCTTCGAATGGATCCGTTGAGAAGGCTCTCAACAGACGACGATGTCTACTCGTTTCCTAATACTGGAATCATTCGTGAAGCTCTTCTCGTAAGCATCGATCAGTGGAAATCCGCATTCAATCCTCTGATCTGATCGGGGAGATGCCTCGCTGCGTGGAACTAGTCAGTTTGGCCGGAATCGAAAATATTGAAGAAGGAAATTGTGAGATTTGTAGAAAAACCATGAGTTTCCATTTTTATTTCGTTCGTTTCCCCTCCGAAAATTCTTCTCCTGTCATTGATAAATTCCACTTTCCGGGATCGACCCTCAGGAAACGATGCAGAATCCTGTACAAGAGAGAAGATTCGTTCTACGAAAAAGTTGGGATCAAGCAGCAGGAAGTCACAGAAAACCACCGGAGTGTGAAGCTCCCGCCGAATCCTTTCCGGAGTCCCAACGAGCTCCACGGAAAAACCCCGCGCTTCTCCGTTTCCACTCTCGAACGTTTTGACCAGAAGGTAAATTTCGTTTCATTCAAAGGAAACTCGGGATGCCGAGTCTCTCATTAAACATTGGCGATTTCTCGTGTGGCAGAACTTATTGCTTGGCGTATTTCCTCGTAGAGGAAACCTTGTTGCACTCGGCTAGTACGTGGAGCGTGCTCCCATCGACCCAACGAGTGATTAGAACTTCCTTGAGTTTTTTCGCCTCATTAGGGAACTGCTTCTGGATCATCTTGTCCCCTTCGAGGGTCATGATAGAACGAACGTCGTTTCCGTCAAGACGTTTCTCGACGAATTCCTCGCCCATCTGAAAAAGAAATACCGCGTCAGTTTCCGCGAGGCCCATGATCCTCGATGAGAGAAATTTCCGCCTAGGACGCTCTCGATGACTTCGATTTTACGCCGGAAAGCCAGGTCTCGGATTCCGCATCGGAAAATGAGAACTGCTTGAGGTGGATTCGGAGCGGAAACGCGGGCACGACGGACGGATCTGATCCGGACGAGAACGACCACCTGCTAGTCGATGCTCAGGATCGATGGGCATGAGTTTTGAGCTCGGAAGCCCGAATCGCTTCCACGTGTGATGGATAATGCAGCTGCGCTCGCTGAATGCCAAGGGAGCGCTCAGACTAGAGTTTTCCGCGGCAGGTCGAGATGGAAAAAAGAACGACGACCGACAACAGACTTCCGCTGTCTGAATCCGCTTGCTCTCTCCCCTACCACGTCCGTTCACCACGATCCTATTTCAGAAAATTCCGACCGCCTCGTTCGACGGATATCAGGATATTTACCTTGAATTCGATGACGGAAGTTTTCAAAGAGGTCACAGTTTCCAGTTTCCACTTATCTCCATCCTGACTGATGTTGACGGTCGGAGTGGCGGTTTGAGCGAACTTACGCAACACGAAGCCTGGAGATGATCAGAAGGAAAACAATTTATCCTGTTCTTCTCTAACAGCGGACGATCGTGTTCTCCTCTCTGGCTGGAGAAGCGACAATCTTCCCCTCGATCAGTCCACCTTTCCAAATATAGTGTCCAGGACTATCACGCGAATCGTCTACTCTAAACGTGGACGGCGGTACGCTTCCGCTTAACTGGAAGGACCTTGACCAAATCTCCCGGCAACATCGCTCCAGAGACTCGTCCGCAAGACGAGAATCGGTCTGAAAACGAAGGTAGACATTTCCTTCTATGAGAAACCTCCGTCAGGCGGCCAGACTCGGAGTTTCTGATTCAACCAGCGTTCTCCCGATCATCGAGCTCGAGGGATCGATCATCGACTCCGATCTCGACTCCACAGCCGGGAAGTTCTGACGATCCGAACGAGTGAGGATGACCTTGTCCATTAATTTCCAGCGGAAAATAGATCTCCAAAAAACGACGAGCTATCAGATTTTCGCTTCAGATGCGACGAATTTCCACGCTCCAACCGATCAGCCCACATTTAGCGAAACGTCATCCCGGCAATCAACTTTTCGACGGGGATTCCCACGGAGGAAGAAGGAATTTTTTCTCCGACACGGAATGAGAGACGTTCGCTGCGGTTTGACGGCAACCACCACGTGTCACTGCACCGAGGAGCTTCGTACGGTTTCGCTGAAATTCCGGTCGACACGGATCGGATGTACTTGATTTTTTTCTGACAAATGGGTTGACAGGACGCCGGGTACTCACCGACTCCCATCTCGGAGAGAAGGTCGTCAAACTTTTCACTTTCGGTCAACTTCCACGATCCGATAAATTGACTCATGCTGATGGCGAGCGTGGACTTCAACGAGCGAAGATTCCGCAGTGACTGTGTCGAGCAACCTCTGTGTCCGATGTGTGGCGCGCTATAGTGGGCAGGCGCTGTGAAGCAGCAACCAGCGGGATGATGATGGCAGCTGCGGCGGCAGCAAGAGACACAGCTCAGCAGACGGCATATGGTCTCTACACGAGAAAATTGACTCAGGCAGCGGCGGCGGCTTCGGCGGCAGCTTCGAGCTGGCAAGAAGGTTCCCAGAACACTTGCAGCTCAGGAGGAGAGGGAATCCCGGCGCGCAGTCGACTCGTCGGTGTGATAGCGCAGCTGAGAGCTGATGGCAGCGAAGAGGCGGCGGCGGAGATCATAACATGGCGCGCGCATGACTTGACCACAGGAGAGGGTGCCTGTCGGAAGATTGTCCGCTCCTGGCTGATGTGCGGGTCTGCTGCCGTGCTCGCGATCCATGAGCGCACCTGCTTCTGCCCAATGCCCACCATAGCTGAACAGGTTGATGATTAACGGCTCGGAAAGTCTGGCACTCTGTTTGCCTCATTCAAAGAAAAATATATTTCGAGATAGTCGGCAACTCATGCGGGACCTCCCTCGAATTCCTTTGAATCCTTTTTTCCAGCATGGAAATGATCGTGTAATTCCATGCGTAGTAGCAGAGTCTAGATCGAAAGAGGAGATCGGGAGGAAATGAAGAGATCCAAGCGTCAAAATGCGGTCAGTCCGATCCGAATACCGTCCGCCAGCGAGATGGCAAACGATTGCCGCTCTAAAAAAAATATTTTCCAGTTGGTAGGAGGCCTCTGTCCGCTGATAGATAAGCTCGCTGCCACGTAGATGCCTAAAGCGTACAATCAGAGCTCTTTTCGCGCTGAGGATGAAAATCATTGTTGAATGTAGATCGCTCATTCGTGGTAAACAGTATCGCGGTGTCTTGGGATCCGGAACTCAACCCTGGGAGAGATGTATCCGTGGCCGGTCTGTGTCCCCGAGGCACCGCATCACAGATTGATCGTGCAGGACGCGAGGAGCTGAGCTTTCGAGGGATTGTTTATCGAACGGGCTCTCGAATATCCGATGTTAGATCCGATGTCTTCAGGAATCGATGGGACTTCTGACAGCTGTATCAACCATTCCCCTATCTGAGAATCCTAGCCGAGTGATCCTTAACCCACGATTTCTAGAGCTGACTACTTCAATTATTAGTTTATTCCGCCACGTTTGATAGAACGAAAATATTGCCCGAAAATCGACCATGCACAGAGCTGGGACTGTATTTCTCGGTTCATATCGAAACGACTCCGAGATAAGTTGACACTATTAGGGAACTGATCTCAATCTCTCCGAGCTGAGGAGGATCCGGAGCTGAATTATGCAGAACGATCGTTACTCTCGTTGACAGCGAGACCGTCGCTGTTTATTTCGAACAGTAATGGAGCGCCAACCACCTCGCGCCCCATCGTCTGTTTATTTATTGGGGAATCTGACCCCTTGTAGGGAACGTGGCCAGTCTATCTAGGAAACATTCACCCGCGGCAATGAGTTTTGTGGAAGCGTCTCTCCGGGGATCTTGAGGGAGCAACGAGTTCGTCAATCTTAATTGACTGATCGAGCGTCCTCAATGGGGAGACGTCGCGTGGACTCTCGAGCATTGATGATCTGTCCATTCTTCTTACGTTAGATGCCGTACCGACAAAAATAGATTTTCTTTCTTAGTTCATATCAGGGGAGGGCCCCACAGCAGAATTATTGGGTCAATCCCGAGACAGGGGAAGGGGCCAATGATTCCCGCTCCGTCGGTGTGATAGCGGAGGAGGACCCTCGGTCCACATTGCCCTGTGAGGCTGGTTATTATAATCATTTGCTAACTCTTAGCAGGGGACTGATCATGCTCGATTCTGTGGTCATGTGAAGAGGGGCTCTTTATCTATATATATAATATGTTTACTTGATATGTACAAGGATGCGTTCGATTCAGCCATTGGGACGAGAGGACACTAAACAATCACTACATTCGAGCTCGTGATGTTTTCTCTGAACTTCTGCGCCATGGTTCTGAAACTCGGTCGTTCTGCCGGTTGCAGACTCCAGCAGCCCAACATAATTTCGTAACACCACTCGGGACACGCTGGCGGTCGGCACAGTCTGCCGCCCCGCTCTACGAATTGAAGAACCTACAAGAGAAATATCATTTAACATTGTCTCGCTGTGAAATTCGCTCAGCAAGGGGAAGTTTTCTCAAGCTTCCTCCGGAATGACAGTCCTTGTCTCCGCCTTGACCGAGCCGTAACCATCATTCATATTCACGGAGGATACGTAGGAGGACTCATTGAAGGAATCATTCGTTGCCATCGCGGGAACAAGGAAATTTTGAGCCGAATCCACGGAAATCACCAGGGATTGGAACGAGGTTCCTCAAACATTTGGCGGATGCCTCGCGGATTACGTGGGAATCGACCGAACATATTTTTGGTTATCTTCACACAAGCTCGCTCAAAGAATTTTTGGCGTGCGATTCCGGGCCATAAATAGGCTTATTAGGTTAGTAGCTGCAGCAATCATTGACGAGCGGAAGTCAGAGCTCGTTTTCGATTCTGCTCGATCCGTCCCGATTTTCTAAAGCAGGACAGGAAAGCGTGACGTCAGTAATGATCAACCAAAAGCGGTCGGAGCAGCGTGATGATTTGTCCGGCGAAAAACCTTCTCAATGAGGCTTACGATCACTTCAGATAGCGCAAGCCGCGGGAAGATTTTCACGATCATCAATTTCTCCTCTATATAACTCCGAGTGCGGCACGTGGAGCAGCGGTGCTTCGGTTCCGCGAAAAAAGAGTTTGGAAAATCGAGTTGCGAGACCCGCAGGGATCGTAGCTAACCGTCCGACGTCAATCTCGAAGCCGGTTCGAGAAGCATCGGACAGGAACCCTAGAACGTTTAGTCTTGTCGGCATTGGCATGGCGATGCATACCGTGAAGAAATCACCGATGGGGTACAAAATTCTCTTTGCGAGAACCATGGCACACTCATAGGGCATCCCATAGGGCTCGTCCGGTCGAGAGACAGGGAGTTTCCATCTTTCTAACATAAGAGTTCTCATCGGTCAAAACGTCCAACTTCATTCCAGACTCGTGTATCGAAGCGAAGAAGGATAGTGTGGTGGAGGAAGAACCGAGAGGGGAGGTTTTCGCGGACCAGGTCATGGCACAGGTGATTTGTGAGCGGGTGAGCTCCTTGGTTCTTCCTCCATATACCCTTGGGCGCACAGCACGCTCTAACTACATTGGTGATAATCATCAATGATAGGACTACCCAAACCCTCATGCCATTGGAAAACGCAACTCGATACCCTACAGAATCGCAATCGTTCGTCGTCGTACCTCGAGTCCTGTCTTGTTGGCATAGGGAGACTCTCTCCCAAATGTGTACATTTCCCACAGTGTGACGCCATAGCTCCAGACGTCGCTCGCGGTACTGAAACTGCCGTAGTTTATGGACTCGGGGGCATACCACCGCAGAGGCCACTTTCCTCCGGTGGTCGCTTTGTAATAATCGTTGCCGACCTGCAAGGCTCGCGAGAGACCGAAATCGCTGATTTTCGCCTGCATCCGTGAGGCCAAGAGGATGTTGCGAGCTGCAAGATCGCGGTGAACCAATTGTTGCGACTCGAGATAGCTCATACCTTCCGCGATCTGAAACAAGGTTCATCAGGGAATCAAGGGATGCCTCGGGGAAACTGCAGAGCACTCATCCCGCATCATCTTTCCTCCCCTCATAGGAGGGAATCATTCCTTCTTATTTCTGATCCATACCTGACGCGACCATCGCGGGAAATCCAAATCGAGATCGATCGAGTCCGCCTTGCTCTTCAGGTAGTTCGAGAGGCTTCCCAGTGGAACCAGTTCCTGCACCTACAATCAATCGCGCAACCATCAATCTGTCGTTTCGAAATGCAGAATCGAGGAGTTCATACATATCGAACTAGGATATCGGCATTCGGCTAGAATTCGAGAGCAGAGCCGATTGATTGATTGATCAATCCGAAGGTCTCGGGCAAGATCATCCGCATACCATCATGAGAGGCGGTCCAAGACAGACGCCTAGGAGCTTGACGATACAGTCATGGTTCAACTTCAGCATCATTTCAACCTCACGGACGAAACCGGCCCGTTTCTCTTGGGTAGAATGTTCCTCGCGCAAGGTTTTAACAGCCACAACGGTGGTTCCATCTCGACGACTCCAGATGCCTACCAGAACGAGAAATATAATAATAGTGATATAGATCCACATTCCAGTGCGAAGGCTCATGTGAATTCGGGCGAGCCCTCCCTGTCAGCGCCGATTCTATGTAGATTTGCGATCAAAATCCTATCGATCCTCATGGAGGTAAGTCCAGGAGCGGGAAAACATCTGCAGCCGGAGAGAAGTCTCCATTCTATATGCTTCTCGGTTCTCGCGTCTCAGAATACCTTTGAGAACAGAGCCGAACTCTCCCTCTCCGATGGGCTCTCGAAGTTTTAGCTGTTCCGTCGGGATCAATGAAGCTATGCCGAAGTGTCCCCCAGGTATAGCCGGCAGTGGTGGTGTGACTTGCCGCCATGGGTTCACGCGTATCACAGGACTCACAACTGCGGAAAGGAGATAGCTCCTTGTATTATATGTCCGAGAGCAAAGTTCCACATTTCCCAAAGCCTGCGGGTGGGAGTCGTCCCACTTTACAACGAAGGAAATGATCGAGGTGAACGTGGCGATGACGCTGTCGCAACAATCATTCAGCAAGTCCCCTCACGGACCTGCTCATCCGATTTAGTAGAACAAGCTCCCCAGCCACGAGTGGCAAGGGGGAGCACTGAGTGTCGGCGTGAACAAGGGTCGTCTTTGAGACCCACCTGGTTGTACAGGGTTCGTGAGAGCGCACGGTAAACCGTCCTTGTGCTTCGAATAGTGCAAAATCAAAGCTTCGAGTCCGTCGAGTAGAGGTCCGTCGTCTATGAAGTAGTAAGATTCCTGCCGAAGGAGCTCAAAGTGGTAGACGTATCCGTCGTGGGCCATGGAGAGGACGAGCTTCGAACTGTTGTCTGAAATGAATCCCGAACTTGACCTCAGGGAGATAGAGAAACGCTCGTGCCGATAATATCCCTATGTGGAGGATGAAATGAGTCGGGCTGCTCACCGAGGGGAAGAATCGAAGAACATTCCTCGAATAAAAATAACTTGGTGAACTCACCGGCTTTTCTGCTAGTTCTGAAGAGGAAGCTCCCACTCGATGCCAGCCTGAGCCTTGCACAGGCTTCTTCTCTGGAAAGGTCGCCGTGGAACCAATCTTCTCTATGTAGTCGACTCTCGGCAGGATCTTTACGCGAGGAAAGGAATTCTTCCAGTTCAGGTGCGTCACGAGGAACCAGATCCTCGGGTAGGAGTCTATCCGCAGATCTCGGTCGACTAGCTGCTCCACTATCGAGGAGCAATTTGACTATTGCCATGTCTCCTTTATAAGCGGCGAAATGCATGGCAACCTGGGGAACGAGATCTAGATGAGACTAATCTTCCAAGACCCTGAGCTCTCGAGCTACTCGAGCCGGATATTCTCCAGGATTCGCCTCGTGGTAGCACGCGGGCTCATGTGATCGGTTGCCCGAGACAGCTCTGCTAAATAATTCTCACCCAGCGGGAGCCTAGGGCTGGGATAGTTGTGCTGGCTCCGTGATCTAGAAGATAATCCACACATTTCAGATGCCCTTCACGGCATGCGTAGTGCAAAGGAGTGTGCCCGGAGCCATCCACGCAGTGGGTTGAAGCTCCGACCTCCAAAAGAGCCAAAACTATATCTTCTCGTCCGCTCAATGAAGCCAAATGTAGGGCCGTCTGGCCATCCTGGTTCTTAGCGTCAATGTTGTAATCGGACTCCAGCATCCTGCTCACGATATCGAAGTCGCCTGGGGATCGAGATTGTGTTGAGCTCGGGAAAAGCGGTCGACGCAATGCTTTAGATGTTTCCATCATCAATCAACTCAAGCTCGAACATGCAGTCATTGGTCCGGTCCCTTCAAAAAATGAATAAACTTCAAACATGATCCTGCTCGATCTCGCTCCTCTGCATAATGCCTTCTCCTATCTGTGAGGTGTTTCGTCATGGAAGATTCAATCATAGAAGCACTCTAGAGTTATTGAACCTTGACTTTCTCTGGTATCCGAAGACATTGTCTGCCCCCGCAATCATCCGAGTCGTTTTTCATAAAAGAGGACATCGAGGCGAATTCTCGGAGCTCTCTTCGTTTCAAGCATCCAACTGACTCCACGGCCGGTACCGAACATTGCGCCCGCTCCTCGGAGAAGTTGTTCTAGGTACAAGCTAGTTTCTGCGATCACGTGTGTCAGAATCCTGTTCCGTAGATGAATACCAACGGCGGCGGAGGCAAACGTTCATTGACAGCGGTGTCTAGCCGCCACTGCCCGCTCTCGCTCGGAACCACAGAAGAAGAGTCAATGCCTGCGAGCCGGGATTCCTAGAAGCGACGCGTTCGAGCATAAAGTACTGTTGCAGATGTGATCATCGACAGCATCTTGATGCCGAGCAGGAAAAAATGTTGATCGGGAGGAAATCAACGTAATCACGAACCCCATGTTCGCGACTCGATCTCCCGCTGGGTGCAGTCGGTATAGATATCTGATCTCAACAGTAGCAGGCAGATTCCAGCACTGAATTTATAGATTTCCCGACAGGAAAAGAATTCTGCCTCAGAAATTGCGAGATGACACGCCTATGTATCTTCCTTTCGTGACGTGATCGGAAAGCGTTCCGTCCACTCGCGATTCCTGTCGGAAGAGCTGACGGGGAGCACCGGATGATAAGAGTCTCGGAAGACCGAAGCAATGAAGGTGAGCTTCTGTGCGGTGAGTCATCGCAAGGCGACCGAGAATCTGGCTTCGTGGAAACATAACGGGCGTGCGGCCCCGTCGCGAGAGCAATTAGCTACTCACTAAAGCAAAAGCGGCTCTATGAATTCGACTCATCGTGCCGGAGCGCGCTCTCTCCGAGCGGTACTCTCAGGGAAATTCACCCTAAATCTCGAAAAAGAAAGCGCTCTGAGGAGAAAAACACCGCCGACCTGACTGACTAGCATTTGGATAAGCGAACATGGGGAAGCACGGCAGGCTCGTCATTGCGGGAATCAAGCCCACGGACGATAAGGCTGAAATCTACTGAGTCTCACCTCTCGATATGGCTCGATGGAGCAAGTTCGTCCTTCCGTGTCTCCGAACGTCGTGTGGGGGTGGTTGGCCCTTGCACATCTCAGTCAAGGGACTTACGAGTCCTCGGCCGTCTTCATAGTAGCGAATAAGTTCTTCGAGACCGTGGATCACGACACCCTGGTCTCCAACGGAGAAGAACGCGTCATCGCCGTTCCGACGGATCTGGTAATGAGCTACGCACCCATTGTGAACAACCGAGAGAACGTAATCGCCTTCACACGATGTTGATTGCCGTACCAAATATAATCCATCCCGTCCACCGGCTGTGAATGAGAAATAAATATCAGTCTGAAATATTTATCGACGACGATCGAGTCGGAGTCACCGTCGGAGAACCTCGGACCGTCTTCCCGAATGGATTCCGAGTAAGCCTATCCGCAGCGAGAAACTGCCTTCTCCATCTATAAATAACCCATGAAGAGCACATGAATACAACTCCATGTAGGAGTCAGGGAAAAGATCTTCCGGGTGATCTCCGGGACTCGGTAACATCAGCTCACAGCTTGATGCCCCGCTTAAGACAAGGGAGGGGGACAAGATCGATTTCGGTGTTTTAAGACGGCATTCTTCGTACCACTAAAGCCGTCCGCTTCCTCCAAAACTCGAGAACTTCGGATCGAATCGATCGGTTCCCGTAAACATACATTTCTCGAGTGCGTCATCGACAGTCGGCCTCATGTAGAGTTTTCTGTGGTCGACATAACTTACCCTCTCGAAGTATTTCCTCGGCTTCTTGTCGGCAGATCTTCCCATGATACCAGTGACAGGACTCGTCAATGGATCTCGGTCCGGTTGAGAAACTCCGCATAGGAGGACCTCTTTCCGTTTCCGGAGATGAGGGAAGAGAAGCTTGCCCGATCTCGCCCATCTATAAGACGTGAACGCAATAGTTATCCGATCGCATATGGTCCAGGCTTCGCACCTCAGCATGGGCTATATCTGTGTTCTGCGTTATGGATAACTAAATTCGAGAAAATAGAATTCGTGCATTGCTAGCTGAGATTCGGGCTCCGGCCCTACGATGCTCGATTATTATATTTCGAAGTCTCTCGAACGCTGAAATTAGCGGACTTTCTGAGCAACAGACTTCATTCCTCCCGATGATTGATGATCGCGTTCGATCGGGGTGCTCATTCGACTCAACTTTCACGATGCGGAAAAAGATTTCTCGCTAAAGGCCTTACACAGTGCGACCTAACATTTGAGTCCTCTCAACTTGAGTCCACCTCGTACGTGAGTCACCTATTTGTGTCTGACCCGTGAAGACCACGATTACGAGACCAGGCCGCGTCTCGAGCGGCGAATGGATCTTCATGGAGTGTAGTCCGATAACCAATCATACTACCGCTAAGGAACTTCCTTCAAACCTAGAGCTCATCTTTCATAGTCTCGGATATAGCGTGGACGGAGAAGGAGAGCTGGAGCGAGGGCGCGGACAGTTCCTCGGAAGCTGAGGGAATCGCTTTTCCTGATCGCAGAATCTCTATCCAATTTCTGTGATATAATTCGGGATTCGCCACACATGCCGCTTCACAAAGGAAAAGGAAATAGTCGAAGACACCCTTACTCCTCACTCCATTGGATTCGTGTGACTCGCCTACGACTCGAGAGTTTTATCTCACAGTTTCCGTAAAATATAGTTGCTTTCCACACCTTGGCGTTCTACAAGCCATCACGAAACTGTCTTCCCCACGGAAATACTGGAGAAATCCTTTTTCGAGCAACTGGGGGAACCTATCCTCCAAGTGAGTCATTCCTCGACCCGAGCCCCTACGTGAGGCACCAATCATTGACTCAACTTGAGGTCGCGCTGTATCACACGTAGAGTCCTTGTGAGTTCAGAATGTCCCAGAGAACTCTCTCAATCAGACTTCCCCCTTGCCAGAGTATCGTTCTCCCCACACCATTGGGAACCGTCAATCGATCTGAGCGCGGTGCGATTGTGAGTTTACTCAGCTTTTTCCCAACTTCGAGTAATCAACGTTTCCGTCAGACGCTCGCTCTAGTGCAGCAACGGATTTTCGATGGGGGAGCCCGCGAATCAACGAAACTTGCAGAGGCGTCAATCCCAATCATGGAAGACAGCGGGAAAAGAATCGAAAGAACGTGGAGTAGATCCGCATGCATCCACCGTCAGAATCGCTTGATCGATTCTTTGTTTCCATACTTTGTCATCTGATCGTTTCCCGGGTGTTGATCGAAAAGAACTACACTGCGTTTACTACACGAGCTCCCACTCCTTGCCGCTGTCGGCAAACGTTCACGAGCGCCACGACGACGAACGGGAGGGAGGTTACTCAAAAGCCTCCCGCAGGTGTACCAAGGTCACGCGAATTCCGCTCGTCTCGTTCTTCCTAATGTCGATGATCACTTTCCCCTCTTCTGATTAGAATTCAGTTCGGATTCCATTCGGAGAATTCGTGTTTCACGCAATATCGGCATCCCGCGGCGATTCCGGATGATCTCATGGTTTCTGAAAATGATACAGCACATCCTCCGGCGAGCGCGGTAACGAAACCATTTACAGAGTTCGAAGAAATTCAATCGGACTCTGGAACTCATTGAAAGTTTATTCCGGATGGATTATGAGGTCGGTAGCTTGGTTGATTTGTGAGAGAACCAGCAGACTACAGGGGGGTAGCATTACTGAGAGTCGTAGATGTGGTACACAATGACCTGGCGCGCAAGCTTATTGGAAATTGTTTGCTGATTATGCCTCGAGAACTTGAGGATGGAAATCATCAGATTATCTTCCTCTGCGCATCCGAGCCGACCCTTTTTGAGTCGCACTCCGAGAACGCGCTCAAGTTGAAGTGACACGAGGGGCCTGAAGAATGTTGAGGCGGACCCTGAGGGCACCCAGAAGAAATTATGGGGGGTGTCGTTCGCTTTCCCTTCTACTCGAACGAGAATGCAGGTTCCAGCTCTGCCTCGAAAATGGAATTACATATGGGGCTCATCGGGAGCAAGTGACGGTTGATCTAGAGGATCTATGGACTTCGAGTTTCGATACGTCTGAAATGAGCCAGAGCCATTATATCGTTCCACGCGGGAATTCTCAACGGCGGATATACGCAGTAACGATGAACTAATGCCGCGCTGCGGTTCGTCTGCCTAGTCCTGTTCGCAATACCTGGAGTCGGCTCGAGTTCTAACGAGCTCGGGAGATGAGCTGCGGGTTATGATTGAAGCGCGATGGATTATCGAGGTAAATTCGAGCTGAACGGAATTCTCTAGCTCTCGGCAAAAACGCATCCGTAGATGTAAACAGAGGCCAAAGCTCTACCCGAGCAGAAAAGTTCAGTCAATCTTCAAGGGAACTGATGGTCGAGAATCAGATCCCGTGATTTCCAATCCGAGGACGGGGATTTCCCCGAATCCAATGGAATCGCGAGCATAGGATTTGAGTTTTTCCCCCATGTTTTCGTGTGTTTGTCACGCGGGAAGCATGTTCATCATGTCCCGGGCTCCCACAGCCGCACTTTGTGCAGCAGCATGACAGTTTCTTGAGGCCGGATCGAGTCTCGGGGCCAATAATGATTTCGAGATCACTATATGCGTGATTTCAGTCCAGCCAGTGTAGGATCATCGATTATGAGGCGAGCTCACGTAAATACGAGCCACCCGTCAGCTGTTCGGCGCTGCTCCTCTCCCACATGAAATGAAGCCACTCTACCTTTTATTGAGAGTCCATAAGTTTCAGTGAGATTCAGATAACATCTTCTGCGTTCATCACAGCAGAGAGTCTGCTTTTCCGCCGACAGTATGTTTATCACAACCGATGCAAACTGACACTCACACAACTCGAACTGCTCCAAGCGGCGGACGTCTCGCGAACGAGCAAACGAACGATGCCTTTATGATCAATGCGCATGCGCCGTAAGGGCACGGACTACGCGAGAGAGAGAAAAATGGAGAGGTTTTCACTCGGACCTTTATTCGTTGTCGCCCATACCCCGGACCACAAATCCTTGAGCTTTTCGATTATAGAGAAGAGTTTTTGATGTCGCGCTGTGATTCAGAGACTTAAAATCAATTATATTCCCCGCAGGCAATGAGCCGAAAATTCCTCACGGTGCGATGTCAGGCAAGCTCGACGGCAAGGTGCCCCTACGTGACAATGAGTCCTCGTGCCCATGCTCTCTATGACGATCCAGCGTAGAATCCTGGGAGTCTGGAGATTAAGGCGTGCCTCCCTTTCCCTCATCAGGTTACTGGTATCACCTACCGGAGATACATCGGTTTGGAATGAAGCTCATCAAGCGCATTCCGCTGACCGATCCATGTTCGAAGCGGAGTGCTTCGCAACGGATTTTTCTCAATTTGTTTGAGAAATCGTCGATGAAATCACTTCAGGACGGTGCGGAGGAAGCCTGGCTCGTCTGGTGTTCCATCTCAGAGACTGCACCATCAATCAAGGCCTCCACCTTCACCTGGCGAAAAGCGTCGTCGGATCGGAAAATACCGAAGAGGGAAACAGGCATTGTCTTGGACCCTCCTTCGGTCCTTGTTCGAGGTACCAGGTGGGTCGGGAACGGCACCACTGACCGTCACCCACGGCCAGGATGGGGACGTCGGCGACGTGAACGAGCCGTTCGTTCCGCGGCGAGAGGCCAATATCAGGGCGGTGGGCCGACCGCGAGGAAGCTTGATAATGACCATGACACCTAATATAAAAATTACCTGGAAGACTAATCGAAGAATGTCGAGATCTATGAGATGGGAAGCTCCATTCGCCCTTGGTTTCCGTCGCGCTGGGAGCAAGATGAATAATTCCAACGTTGGATTGAGATTGCGAGGTAATGGTCCCAACCGAAGAATAACGGTCTCTCAAGATAACAATGCTGGCAGGATCTTGGCGTCGATACCGTGGAGATCGCTCCAGACTCCTTCAAGACCTCGAAAAACCCCTCTGTTCCCCCCTGAGTGTCCCGCCGACGTCGCGTCGCTCCAAGACGCGTCGATCGCTCTCTTAATAGGTATCTAGGCATGCAGAGAAAGACAACGAGATTTTCGGTTTTATTCAAAAGACAGTTATCAACGCTGTCAGGATCGCGTGTTTGCTTTTATTTATTTATTCATTATTTAGACATCATTATCATCATTTCACTTTTTGTATCGCTTGCCTTACTTTATCTCTCTCTCTCTGTTTCTTCCTCTCCCAATTCGAACGTATACTCAAACTCTCTCACAAATGAAGGTGGTTCATCATTTTTCCGTCGTCTTCATATTTCGGGTTGTTTGTGATACGGATAGGGGTTCAGTGGTTTTCTGTTCGTCAGTTTTCCATCTTTCTTCTCAAAATCGTTGTTTCCGCTCTTCATCATCATAAGCGTCGTCAGCATTTATTTCCATCGAGTTTTGCTTGCTCGCTCGGTTGTCTGTTTGTTGCAGAGTCATGAATGAGAAGGTGAAGTCGGTGTTTCGAAGTCGGTGAAACCTCGGTGTGGTTGGTCGTGCTGGCCAGCCGAAGTGTCGGCATCCCCCGCCAAATACATCAAGGACTCCCTCGACCGCAGGAGACTTCTTGGTCATCCCCTCGGGAGATCGTTGACCCAAGTACGTAGCCACTCCACCACGGCCGTCTCAGACCCACAGCCAATTCCAGTTCGGCAATCCCTAAATCATTTAGCTGATCATGAGTTTTATGACCTATCAGAGCTGTCAAGCACACAAACGAACAGATCATTGCTTTCCTAGCCCAAGCTTCCAGAGTGCGCTCACTACATGTTCAGAGACAGGGTGGGGTCGTTGAAGCGCTCGGAGCTTTCCTGGAGCCTCATCGACACCCTTTCCGGTTTCTTCCGAGAGTACTTGGAATTTTTCATTAGCTCCCCTCGCTCATTTCCTGATTAAACGAATGTCGGGAATCGGTTGCAAGCTCGATCGGATAATATCTCGTGGAGCTCATGGAAACTCCGGTAATCTCTGAGTCTAGTGATGATCTGCGCAGACAGCAGAACACGCCTTGCATGGGCATTGCGAATGTGACACAACACAATGGAAAACTCTTCACTTCAGAAACAAGCTGTTTTCCTCCAGTCTCTCCCGTTAACGGTGACAGCACGACCCCTTAGAGTGGAAGCCTGATCTGAGAATTCTCCCAGGGATATTTTTTCGCGCGAATGCGTAGCATTTCTTTCGATACGGTAAGTCTTCCCATGGGTCCAGTGTTCGGATAAATCCAAGTCCTTAGTGAATTTGAGATTGATCGCTGTGACCCGTCCGCCGGCATGATTCTTCGTTGAGACGTAGAGCGAAAACTAACGAGGTTTTACTTAGACTCGATTCCAAAACATAAGTCCGATAGCTTGCCGTACATCAGTGAATCGATAATTGAACTCGATATCAATTGAAATCTTCCTCAACCGGGTGCAATAGTCCGGCTATCTCTTTCGAGAAGACGCCGAACATTGTGATGGGTAAGCCAATTCTCCCTAGGCTCCGAACATTTGGATTGACAGACTCCTTGATATTCGCCATATAATCCTGTGCAATTCTTTTATGAGCATCGAATGCTAACTACGAGAAGAAACATCGGCGTGATCCCTCTAGGGATTCGCTTGACAGATTCGATGTGGAATTTCATGTGAAGTTTCCCAGTCGGATTCCGGATCGAATCCTAACTCTGATTAGTTTGCGAGTGGGTGAAGGAGTCCAGGTGAATGTGGGTTTTCTTCGATTTGTCTGTGTCTCTATACTTTCAAAGTGATCGGGGTGACTTTATCGGTGAGTGTATTCGTGGGTGCTCACAGGGGTCTGCGATACGTCGTTTGCTGAAGATCCGTTGTGCGGATTCTCATCTGAGCTGCCGTCGGATATCTCTGAGAGCATTCGTTTGCTAGTATTCGTTGAGTGACGAGGATGCTGCGTCTGCTGTGATAGATAGAATTTGAGTGGTTGTTCCAAAAACTATCAGAAACTTCGCGAACTTTTGCTATAATGGTTGACAAAGTCGTGTTTGCTGCAGTTCTCGGACAAACTTGATTGCACACTTGCCGTCAAAGTGGTCTGTGGATACGTACATATGTAGGTCTTTCGGTTTTCCCATCAGGTCGTCGAAAGAATTCCGTGGTTCATGTGGGTTTGGTGGATTTTTTCTTGCGGTCTTTGTGGTGTCGGTGGAAGTGGTCGTTGTTGTAAGGTGGTGCGAGGGTGTTTAGGCTCGAACTCGAATAAGCATCTTTCGGCAATTTTCGCTTCATCATTGGCTGTCTTTTCTGCATTCGGTACTCGTGGCCATAACTCGCTCCGTTCCTGCTCTCTTTGCGATCTTTAGCATTCTTTCGGCGAATTGTCGCCCGCTCTCAATGTACCAATCTACCACTCATGAAGGAAACTGTGCATCGCTCACGAACAGGAGACTGCTTACAATCTCGATGCTTCGCAATAGATCTCTGCGAAAAGTCGAGGAGCTTCGTGTAGCCCGGCCCTAATGGAGGCGAAGCTATCACAACTTTCAATGCCTCATCCCCGGAAACTCGATGGCTTTTTTCCTTCTGATTCTCGAGGTTGCGAGCTCCTCTCCTCCACGAAGAGATGTTCCCCCAGCAGAAGTCGACGACGCCATTTCCGGAAAGCCACCGAATCTTGGGGAGCGGGTCGGGAGGCGACGGAAAACCTGCCCTTGCCGGAACGACTCGAGAGAACTACACGAGGAGCGGGTGACAACGCCAACGACTCGCTTCAGGTCGCTAAACGCTTTTCCACTTCCCGCCTCGACTTCAGCGGCTCAGCACAATGGGTTCCGGTATTTTTTTGTGATATTTTTCTCATGTCTTGTATCTCAAAATCCTGTACTTTCTCCCGTTCTCTAAACACATCTTATGTACATCAAAATCACAGTTCATCTTGTCGACACGCGGCGGCCACCTGCAGCCGGGAGGCCCTCGGCCTGGGGCCCAGGCCCTTCGGGTCGGGAGTGTCCGAGGATAGAAATTCTCCTCAGAGATCCAGCCGCATGACACACAGGTGGCCAAAGTCCACACCAACACAGCTGAGAATGGTTGTTGAAGATGACAAAGCTTGCGTCAAGGTGCTTTACGAGATGAGCAAGAAACCGATGCGTTCGATAAATGTTAGAATGTCAATGTAAGTTTGCAGCTTATGGTATGCGTGCAGATGTCGTTTATGATCGATACTGCTATGTTGAAACGTTTCGTGTAGCGAAGCGTGACGTCATTCCCAGCCCGTCGTTCCCGCATACGAATTAATTTCATGCCCGGCCTCGGAGAACATCTGCGTAGCGTCCTAGGACGTTCCGCCGATCTCCCAATAGTGGAAGAAAAGTGACGGCAGACGTATTCGACGGGGAATGACTCCGTTGGTGAACGTTGTGTTCTCTGTATGAGGCGAAATGTGGCGAATTTACGGAAGCACATTAAAACATGATGAAATCTCCGATGATAACACACACGACAACGTCTGGCACCCTTTGTTTCGAGTTCACGTTTTCCTCAACGCTCCTCCTTTCTCTTTGTACATACTTAAAATATGAATCGTTTCTCTCCAATACAATCAGCATACAAGTGGTACGATCTGCCAATGCTCGTGAACATTCGATGATTTCGATGAGATGATCCACTATAAAAATAACGGGAAGTTGAGGCAAAAATAAAAAAGTCCCTCCTCGGATGGAAATAAAAGCTGGTCGCCTGGCACGGGAACAATAATTTGAAAATAGTAGATCTAGCGGAAAATGAGTTCGCCGTCACCGTCTCGGCGACGTCGTTCTTCACGAGAGACTAGAAAAAACAGCGATTCATAAAATTGCCGATCGATCCAAACGAGGGGATCGATCAGCGTCACATCGTCAATCAGATTCAAAATCAAAACTGCTCGCCGATCAATTGTACTCATCCCGGGATCGTCGGGATGATAATGAAAATCGAGAGGGCGAACTCTTCGTGGAGATCTACACAGATGAAGCAAGATGTCATGAGTCCCGTTCAATGCGACTCGAAACAGAATTGAATTTGCAGCTCTAGAGAAATTCTACAAAACGCGAGATGCAGCTGGGTATGTATGTGTATGTTCACCGGAAGACACGGAATCGAGCTTTGGGTCTTCGAATCATCAATATCATCACTTGTGTGCTATTTCAGAGAACAGAACAATTCCGATTTGCGCAGGTCGAGCCGAGAGGAGGGCAAGTCGCTCAGTCAGGGAAAGGGCAAAAAAAAACTTAGGAATGGAATCGAGGTGGAGAAATTTTAAAGTTCTCCCCAAGGACCTTGACTCTTCGTTCAGGAATTTCTCTTGAGGAACTGCTGGGAAGTGTTGCCCCAAGGAGACTACCTCCGACCGGGTTGATAGGAAAACCTCCGCAGCGGAGAAATTCTTTCGGATAAAAATAGTTTAACGCATTTGAAATCATTGGAGAAGTCGTTCAACGACTAAAAACTTGCCCTCCGCTCCGCTTCCGTCATCATCAGTTTAGTTGCTTCCTGTTATCATTTTTTCTCGCACGAAAAATAGTAAATTTGCCACCGTTTGTCGGAGTCGGGTGAATCAGAAAAATACAATCAGTACAAAACCGTATTCGATCTCACCCGACGCCCTGAGAACTTTCGACTTGTTTCGTTTATTGTCTGTGTCGTGTGGCTGGAATTTCGAGAGCAAGTTATAGTGGTTGCTGTAAAAGTTGCATTTCGCTGTGGTTATGTCTGTGAGAACCCATGTCTCCATGGTATCCGCGTTGTTTTCACTCTTGTAGCCGATAGTTGCACTTCAAGTCCTGATCAACTGTTTCGTCTGAATATCTGTATATAATATATATGCATGTATAGATTTATTTAGATAGTTCTCATATAAGTATATGCCTATTAAAGTAGCAAATGAGTTCGTCTTCCCCGCAGTCGTCTGCAGCGATACGAGGCGGCGGGGAAGTCCTACTTCGGCTTCGAGAACCGCGCACGAGGTTCTCTGACTTAGGCAGTGAAGATTTTGACCATTCCTCTCGAATGAGGTGTAGCTTGCTGCTGCTGTTGCTGTTCTTACAGCATAGTCTGTTTTTGTTTGTAATCGTCCAATATCGGCGGCCCGGGTGCTGGGAGTCTTCCACATGGTCATCATGTGTACGTATTGCACGTGGGTGACTTCGTTCGAACTGTCGGATACAGTCCTTTGACAAGATGATTGAGAGATCGGAATTTCGAGACTCTCACCCGATTGCCGACGTTGGCTGCTCCGCCATCAAAATACTCATTCTCACTTGCTTGTTCTCATTCACACATGGTTTATACAGCCCGCGTTAATTTTTCCACGCATCCGCGTCAATCATTTACGCCATCAAGATACAGGGTCCTTCAGCAGGACTTGTGTTCGCTTGCGTGTATTTGATTCTCCCCGTTCCGTGTGTCTGCTTTTGATGTTTATTCATGTGTTTTCTAGCATGTATATATATATATTATAAATACATCCTTGTTTATATATATTTATATATATATATATGGAAAGAGCGAGGCTTACAGCATGCTGCTCACCTCCAAGCCCTTTCCTTTTCGCCCTTTGCCCATGCTCAATCGATTTTCGTAAATTTCTAAACACAACGGTATCATCCTTCGCTCACATGTAATCGTTCCAACCTACATGGTTTGGGCGACAATTGCAACTCATCTTCTCCTTCTTTTTCATCGTCAGTCCGGCTTCATCATCATTTAACTAATGATCACCCTCATCATGAAGTTCTCCAACTGAAGCTCCCCTCTGTTTGCTGTTGCCTCTCGAAGAGCACGGAAACCCCTGCAACCCATGTCGGAACCGATGTTGAATGAGTTCGAGGCTGGCTCGCGATCGCGTAAAAAATATCATGAGGGCTCCAAACGCTCTCGTGTTTTTCTGTTTTCGTTTCTGGTTCCCGGCTCCGATGTGGCCTGCAGAGATTTCGGAGGGTGAGTTTTCTGCTCGTTGTTTTCCGCCCGGCAAAGCGAGCCGTCGAGTCCACAGAAGCCTCTGCGACTCCCCGTGTGTACATTTCTCCCAGGTGATGATGAATACGTAATGAAGATGCTGGCGACGTCGAGTCGACTGTCGTCTCAGGGCTGATGTCGCTTATTGTGGAGCGCGAGATGATCCGACCGGGAGAAGCAACGGTCGCAGTGAATACATTTAAAAGGCTTCGAGCCCGTATGCTTCCGATAGTGACGTGTCAATTCATCACTCCTTGCGAATCTCCATTCGCATCCTTCCCACGAGCACTTGTAGGGTTTTTCTCCTGCAAAGTTCGAATGGAAAATTTCGTTAGAGACGAAAGGAAACCCTGCGATCGCAGGGGCGTCCAGGGGTTGTATATGCGTCGCAGAATGAAACATGAGCATTCCACTTCTCTTTATATCCTGCACGGAGTTTCTTTCATTCACACTGATTTATGATTGTTTCGCAAGAATTGGAGAGTCTTCGTCGACGCAACCTTGACTCGACTGTGTCACATGAGAACCTCGGAGTTGCGCGCGAATGCTCCCGATACGCAACGGTATGAATGGGAAACTCCACCGCAGTCGGAGACTCTTCGTACCCGAACCCTCGCCGTCGAGGTTGTCTGATTCATGCGGTATGATGTCTAATGCGGAAATTGTATCCGTACAAACACCCGGCGGGGGGAATGCGTACGAAATGGAGGAGCTCGAGGGATATACGCCAGGGGGGGACAGAACAGAGCGAGATACTAGGTGTGTTTGTGAGCAAAGCAAACAGCCGGTAATATCCTGTACGCGTTGCTTGCTGCTTCGTTGATCGTTTCTCTGCCAGTCTGTCCGTCTGTCGGTCGGTCGGACGGCGGCTGGAAGCGGAGGTCGCTTTGGCGGTCGCGCTGATGACGATTGACAATTCCATTCCGACAGCAAGAACGCATGCTCAGGGCTCAGAACAGCATTGGACATAAGCCAGAGGAGTGTGTCGCTCGGATAGTTGGCAGAAGAGGAAGCAAGCGAATGCTTTCAAGATTGCGTATCTTCATCGATCAAACATCATCATTATTGTCACGGCACCCTCTTCTTACTCGACGCAGGCCGAGAGTGGATTCTTCGCGCGCGTTCTCCTTCGACTCGTCCATCTGCTGCTCCTCGCATCGTGAGGAAGTCTGCGAGGGACCGAACGAGCGAGCGAGTCTGGCGCATGGAGGACGTGGCAAGCAGGAATACGGGGGGAAGACATACCAGAGAGCCCGCCGAGATCGTTTCGAGGCTTCGCATTCTATTAGTCCAGCAAGTGGTCCGGCACGGGTGGCGTCCCAGGACGTTCGTTTTTCAATTACAACAACCGACGAATACAGGGCGGACAGACCGGCGGGAAAGGGAGCAGAAATTTGTCCATCGAGCTCGCCTTCTTCTTGAGGGACTGCTCTGATATCGAATTCTGTTTTCTCTTCCCAATTCCCCTCCCGCAACGAGCAGACCCCCAGGATCGCTTCTCGTCCCTCGGAAGTTTGTGTGGAGTTCAATAGAGACAATACGTCATGAGAGGACTCGAGCGTAGTGCTCATTTCTCTGTGGGTCCACAATGCCTCGTAGCATAGGAATTCTCGGCAATGATGCGCACAATGTGGATGGGGGCGGTGGGGGGGAATTTTGTCCCCGAGAGTCGGAAGAGATACTTGGAATGAAGTGGACGAGGGAAAAACTTGAAAGGCTCATCATTCAAGATTCATTTGTCCCTGCGTTCTCGACCTAAGAGCTTCTCACTGGAGTGTATGGGGCATTTTTCTCTACCACCACCGCAAGAACATTCGCTTGCGGGACAAAAAGTAGGGTCCGTCGAGGCAGCGAGATGGCCTTCAAGGAGCCGAGTTCATTGCTTTCTGGAGAGAAAAGGCTGGTGGCGTCACGCCGGCGGGACTGCTCGTAATAAAAAACATTCAGCAGCCTTGCCATACTATGCCTCGTCTTTTTTTCCCACTCCTGCTCCCTCCGTTTTGGACAAGCGACCGAGAGACGGACCGGCCACCGCCGCAGTGAGCCGCCAGGAGCCATTCAAACGACTGACCAAACGAACGCCCGCCGAGCCACCCGCTCGCCGGTCGGTCGAGAAGCGGCTCACAAGACAAATTCGTCCATATGTCCAAAAGAAGAACAAACGTACGCGTTGCGCCAGGTCGAGCATATTGGGTGGACAACGACGACGGCATTTTTGGAATGCGAGAGACTTGAACTCAAGAATGCACAAATACATATATCAGCCGCCCCGGGTGACAGCAGGAGAAATTTCTTTGCATAAAGCGTTGGCGCCAACATCTTCACCGCTCTGTTCGGAGACCCGCAGCCGAACAGCGAATGTTCCATGGAGCACGGAGTGCGTAGCGGCAGCTCAGACCGCGTTTGTTGCGAGAGTGGGGAGCTGTGAATTACATCGAGCCCGGAAACAGACTCGCCCGGAGAGAGCGGAATATATGCGTGTTTGCGATATCTTCATACGGTGCAGAGCTTGTGATAAGCAGAAAAAAACGCGAGGAGCCTTCCAAAAGTCAAACGCCAGCTTCCCGCTCTCGGAACGAATTCGGAAGAAAATTTCCTGAGGTGAACTCCAGCCAAGTGGATCACGGTAGTTTCACACTCCGTGGGTCGCGGTGCTCGCACGGCTCTCGGGCACCGCTCCACGTTCCCTTTTCCCCAGGGGAATGGACATAAAACTTGACGACTCTCTACATACCTGTGTGTGTTCGTTGATGCGCCTTGAGGTGAGAAGACTTTGTATAAACCTTCTTGCAGCCGTTGAACTGACATCTATGCACTCGTCGTTTGCTGGACTCGCTCTCGTACCGTCGGGCGCGGCTTGAGGACACTCGAAACGCCACCCCGTTGCCCGACGCTTTGCGGGGCAGTTCCGGCGACGAAGGCGGCGACAGCGGACTCGTCGACCCACTGACCGGAAGTATCTTCATCGTACTGATCATGCTTTCGGGGATAATTGTCTTCCGTCGTTTTGACGTCGACGATGGGCTCGGTTCGGGCGGAGTTGTGTCGCTGTCCCATGAAACGCTACTCGACGACGAAACACTGACGGCATCGATGTTGGCATTGAATTCATCGAGGTCCTCTGTCTCCTCCGAGCTGCCGATACCGCTGTCCAAATGTGACGAAATCGAACTGCACAGTAGACGTTCCTTAGCACCTACGGAGATGTCTTCCCACGATCGCATGAAGACGTCTTCGACGAGAGCTTCCGCCAGCGTGTGATCGTTGCGTGGTTCGTTCTTCAGATATCTTTCCATTTCGAGGATTGTCTGCAAGGAACAAAAAGAGACGGATGAGTGAATGAGCGCAAGGGGAAAAGGCGAACAGATTAGTATTGATAGAACGGGGAACATATCTCGAGTCCCAGACGGCTGGATCCCGGTTCGCTCCGGAGAGCCACCAGCCGAGAAGCTCTTTCACTCGGAGGCGTCTCCGACTTGCATTCGATCGCTCTGACGGCCGCTCACAGGCGCCCGAACGGTCGCCGGGGCGGCCAAGATAACTCAACGGTCATACAAATGGGAGCATCGCATTTCCGAAAGCCCTTCACTGACGGAGAAGACGCTGACTACAGGCTTGCCGAAATCTACCAAAAGGTCGCAAGCTTTTGAAAAAGACCAATGGTCCGACTGAGGACCTGGCTCGACTTGACTTCGAAAACGAAATCTACATATAAATAAATCGAAGGACATCACGTGAACTTAGGATAAATTATGATAATAATAATCGTAGGATGAGAAGAAGCATCCGGGAGAATAAGAGACGAAGCTTGGAGGGGATCCGTGATTTCGAAACCGCGGATCCGGCCCTACGCGAGCTCGTCTGTCGAGGATGGCGATTATTCTGATGCAAAACTCTCACATTTGCAAATCCGCGCACCAAACGGCCATTAGGAAACGGGGCAGTGCGCTATTGCGATATATCCTCGCCGGATTCGTATAGAGGAGCGCGCAGATGACTCGGGATGTGCGGAATCGAGGCAGAAGCAACGCAAGCGCAGGGTGTTTGTAGATTATTCCCACAACAGTAACTAAAAAGCGATCATATAGCGATCAGTGGCTGGCTCGCGGCAGATATCTCCGCCATCTCATCTTGCTCCTTCCGTTTGCATATTCCATGCGAAGGCAACGGAAGGCGACCCGACGGACGGGTGGGTGAGCAGGACGAGGGTCTTGGCGAGCATGGCTGTCATTCGATTTGAATCCAAACTCTATAATATCCGTTCTCCATCTGGTCCCGCCGCCCCGGACCCTAATCGAAATCGTGCCCACCCAGACGCGGAGCAAGTGCGTTGCGACGGGATATGCTTTTCAATTCCATTCCGTTCCCATTGTTGTCTGTTTGTGTCGAAGACGGCGATATAAGAAAAATATTTTCGGAGCGAAATTAAAGGAATTCCCGCATCTGAGCCTCTGTCAGACATGGACGGATCTTGCTCAGCACCGGCGAACTCGCAGCGAATCTCCACCGCGAGGATTTCGAGGAGGGACATGGCATAATTATTAGGACTGAGGAGGAAACTTCAAAAAATCATCTAGCATACGCGAAGAACATCGACGAGGGGGGAGGGGGAGAAATAAGAGCCTCGAGGAGAGGTCGGGCTAAAAGGACCCGTCTGAAGCCACACGGCCGCTAGTTGGCAGGATATTTGGGCGAAGGAGTGTCGTCTCCTGAGGTAAGCCATTGTATCCTTTTCATCCTCTTTTACGAGAATCATAAACAAGGGGGAATCCTCGAAGAAAGCGGACCTTGCCTCGAAAGGACAAGTTGCAAGCGCTTGAAGGCGGACTTTCTGCTCGATGACGAGCTAGCGACGAGAGCTTTCTCCTCCTATCACGACTGGAAGAGATCGTCGGGGGGATCGACGCGGACACCGAGCCCCCTCCCGAGCCCTTACCCCTCTGAATCCTGGAAGGAGCGCCGGCCGACTAAAACCAACCTACGACATTTCCCCCTCGCTTCTCTATCATTCGGACCCCGACATAGATTCCATACGTCAGGGATTAATATCCGAGGAACTCATTACCCGGACTCGCAATCTCCCGCTGAAGAGGCGTTTCTACCCATAAAATGGGATTCAAAGCGTGAAATTTCTGTCTACTTCGGAAAAGCAAAATTCGCTCAGCAATCGATACAGAGGTCGAACGACGAGACCCAGGACCGGATTCGCCGTCGAGTTCATTCCTCATTCTCAGATATAGCCAATATCTACTCGGAGCACCCATGGTCGATCCCAGATGCTTCTTCCTTCTCCCCTTTCCCTCAGGTGCCGAGCTGCTGCACCCAGCCACTTCCTCCGGTTTTGGAACGGCTGAGTCACTTGATCGGAGCCTCCTGCGTCACTGCTAGGCCGGCGATCGCCAGTTTATGACGTTATAAACACTGATTACGACACTGTTGCGGTCTCGGCGAGTGGGTTGGCTTCTCGCGACCTTAGCTCGACAACTTGGCACTCTCGAACTGTCCTGGATCGCTCGCTGTTTGTCGGAAAGCGTTGACGATGTGGGCGACAAGTTAGGAAGCGGTCCACTCAGCTCGGAGCCCTTTCTATTATTCAACATACACCGCGAAAGTTTCGGCCGGAAATTCAGCTCCTCTCTGTGACGGATGGTGATCCAGGTGATTCGACAAGCCCAGTCGCTCGCTCGCTCGATCTGTCTTTCTCATTGGCTTCGTAAGTTGTTCATTCTGTCCCTCGGGGGCGAGATCCGGAGATTGACATCGAATAGATCTCTAACCACTCGAGTCGCTTGGCAGATTGTAGAATCGTTGGGAAACAAGCATTGCGTTCGTCGTCGTGGAGACAGAAAAAGAAATTAGCCTCGAGCGATCGAGTCGGTAAACATCCAGGCGGTCTGGGAGTAGGAAACACGGCGGTCACCCAGATCGACGGAGGTAGACAGACAGACAGATGGCATCAGTTGGTGGACCGAGAGGTGATACACTCAGATATCGAGGAAGCTTCGTCAAGCCATCGAAGGTGATATAGTGATATTGTTCTGCATGGTTCGTCGCCTGTCTGACTGACTGACGCACGCTAGCACGGACAGACAGACAAACGACCGGGCTGGCTCGTTGGCAATGGAACGAATGAACGAACAAGCTTGACGCAAGCGAATTCGGCTTGGGGCGGGGGCCACCGGAGTAACGGCAACAAACGGGCGGAAGGCAGGCAGGCAAGCTACCTACTCTTGATAATGGTGCTCAATGGTCCGCGATATCTCGCCCAGCAGACCCAACAGCTGATAAGGGCGCCGCTGCCACCGCTGACGCCGCCGTCTCTCGACCCGGGAACAGTTCCCAAGTTCGGCCACAAAAACAACAGCAATTTCAACTTATGGGCCGCTCGAAACTGACAAGATAAAACTGGCTACGGTAGCAGCGACCGTTGCAGATATATACCGTTTGTCCGGTGGCCGTCCTCGCAACCGTCGTCGACGACGTCGCCAGCCTACCCTACACGCCCCTTCCCTCCGTCTGATGCCGCAAACGCCTTCCGAGCGACAAGTTGCTTTCTACGCATGTATTTGAAATTCGGAATTCGTGCCCGAAATGTTTCGACACGAGACGAGGGAATAAACTCGGGCCGGGCGGAAAAGCGCCTGGAATCCCAACCTGAAAAGCCGGCCTCGGAAGCCTTTCGCTTCCGTGGAGTTCTCCCCGTGGCTTTCGCACGCAATTTACGTGTACGGCTTCGCCCGCAATGCACGTTCGAATCGCATCGGTACCTCGGAATCTTGGAAACTGAAAGCGGAAGTTGTGCTCAACACAGCCCCGACCCGTTCGCGATTCAGAGACGTCGATGAGGTTTCCCACGTCGCGGAATTCCGTTTCCATCTCGAAAATTTTGCAAAACACGTTTTGTGCCTGTTCTGAATGGGACCCGCCGCTAAGAAACATGTTGGCATAGCTCCGAAGACGGGCCAAAAAGCGTACGTAGTAGGTACAAAGTTCCATCGTTTACCACTGCGGGAGGCTTCATGGAATACATAAATGCGGCTACAAGTCACTCCGCAGACGGCGGTGGTGGTGCACTCTCCAGGAGGCTAATGGCAAAGTTGTTTAAAGTATTTCAATGTTCTTCGGCTACTCGATCCGGCCTGGCTCCGTTGGTCTGTGAGCCGGCTATGGTAAGTATCGTCCTCGCTCGCTCATCTCAGGGTCGCATCAAAACTTATCTCGGCAAGTCTGGTCCGCTTTAGCCGAGTGAGCTTTCGAGATCGATTGCTTGAAGGGTGGAGTTTTTCAAGCTAAACATTTTTGTATAGAACGCCTTGCGAGAGTTCATCCAACTCAGCATGCCGCGTGTTGTTGCTGTTCGACGCCATGTGACTCCGTCGACCGGTTACCCAAGATCACCTGATCCAAGGAAAACGTTTCCCTCAGCGAAGGCAGCGAGGAATCGGGAGAGCTCTCGTTTCTTCAAAAGCTTTCTCGTCTCCAAGCCGAGGCGGAGGCTTCGAACAGAATAGGCGAAATGCAAGCCAGGATGTAGGAGACAGAGAAAAGGGAAGAATCAATTCGCTCTCCTGTGAACGGAAGTAAATATTCATCCTAGAAGCTCCCGGGCCCACGGCAGGCTGTAAACCAGCCAGGCTTGTTTATAGAAAGCTTCGTACCGAATTCATGGCGGCGGCAGACAGACGGCCAGGCGGGCGGGCAGGCGACCGTCGCTACCACCACCTTGCTAGCATCAGTTGCATGAAAGTTCGCCAACCGTCAGCGGAGCCAAAACCAGCAGAGGAGCGAGCCCATCTCATTCAGAACAGCGGTCAACCTGCTTGGTCGAGCTCGGTCCCGCGACGCCTCGGAGCTCGGCGATCGTTTGCGCCTGGGAACGAGCAACGAGTCAGCCGTCTGGCGAACCGAGAATCTGACACCTACCACCGCAGATGCCGATTTACGCAAATTGGCAACGGCGCTGGGGAGAGGCTGCTTCTTAGTCGACTGGTTTGTTTCGCGGCGAACTCCGGAGATTTGCTGCCTCACACGCCGGATGTCTGCTTAGTTTTCGATGGAGCCGTTGGAGGGTCGTTCGAAACTTCTACACCGAGGATCGTTGGCAACATAACTCTAAATATAACCGGCTCGTGACACTCGGCGATGGCTAGGCCGCAGAGAGCAGAATACGAGCCCGCGCGCGAACAAGGCGGGTGGGCCGGTGAACCGCTCTATTTCCTTTCCCTGCTCGTCCCCAACAGCACCTTTTGCATTCCTGCACCTAAAGACGTCAGGGGAACGGAAATAGCCATCGGAACGTGAGCGGGATCGAGATTCAGGTAGTGTTATTGCTGCTGGTGCCTCCGTCGGAGCAGATGTCGGTAATGGCAATGATGTCTACAATTGTCCCGGG